CTGATCATATTCTTTATTGTCTTTATAAGTCTGATAGAGACTCACATAGATTGGAATTAAATTTTTCTGCGGATCCAAGTTTTTTTCAGCGCAACTTAACATTTGCTGATAGTACTCAATAGCTTTAGAATAATTTTGTAGTTGACAGCAGCCATCACCTAGTCTCTCATACAAACTTTTCCGTTTTGAATAGTCTAAAGAGCTGGTTGTGACCAATTCGTCTAAAATTTGACAAATCTTTACGACTAAGTAAAGAAAAAATGAATAGAAATGAATCTTTACGACTAAATTTGATAAGGAAAATTATTGAAATCCAAGTAGTTTTTGTACATTGTACTTACCAACTCGTAATGATTTCTCAATAGCATTTCGATCGTTTTCATCGGGTGTGTTCTTCTTATAAGCTTTAGTTAATATTTGTTTAGCACTGGCAAAATCGCCATCTTTAATTAAAATCTCCGACTTTGTAATAAGGGTTTCGCAAATTTTTTTGACTCTAGTCGGCAAACGTTTCGCTACCTCCAATGCTAAATTACAGTAGCGTAATGCTAATGTCGAGTCATGCTTTTTATAAAAATATAGCAAACTCATCGAAATATAACATAAGTGTGTTAATTCAAATAGGTCATGCGATTTACTAATTTTTATAGCTTTTTCAATATATGTAATTGACTCTTCGAATTCTTCCAAATGCTCTTTCACAACACCAATATTAAGATAGCAACGTGCTTGCATATCCAATTGTTCCTGTTTTGAAATTTGTCCTGAAAGTCTTTACAAAATTATGAAAAATATATCTTCTTCTTCTTCTGTTTAATAAAACCTGATACCAAAACTCACTCCTTTATTAAAAGCAAACTCTTTAGAAAAGCACGTTCAGCTTGTCTCAATTGATCCATAGTGATCGAAGAACTTTCTGTGGTGCTTTGTCCATGCAACAAGTGAGCCCGTCCCAATGTAGCGTAAGCACGCTGCTCTTCCACCTTATTATGAAGTCTTTTAACAACATCTTGAAATTTGGTTTAAATTAATGAATATTTAACCATTTTTAAAATACACTTACCGAGGTAAAGGTTTATGTGATCTTTGGCTTCGCCAAATTCACTAAGCAACATATACATTTCACCAGTCATTCTATGCGCTTTCGCCATTTCCAATTTTTTCCCCAGCTTGGCGTAAAGTTCTGCTTCCTGTAAATACTCGCGCATCGCATTTTGGTATTTTCCCTGCTGATTGTAGAAATCCCCCAAATTGTTGCAGCAAACAGCCAGTTGTTGAGGATTGGCTTCACTTCGCGCCTTCTCCTTCCGTTTGATAAATTCTAACAATGTTAACATCCATAAATACACATACATATATGTCAAAATATATTACAATAGTCACATACTTTTTTCATCCATAAGTCACTGTTTGTACTCCAATTGTACCAATTTATATATACAACAATTAATTAAATAAATTGCATAGTACGACCAAAGATGGTACGACTTAATGCAAAATACACTTTTCTACATTTGCTCGTTTGGCGCAGTTTTCGTAAACAATTGGTTATGGTGGTACAATCGATCAACTTCTGTGTTATCGATAACTAATAAGTTTTATTAGTTTTGGTTATATATCAATGAAACAATATAAACGCTTTTTAAACAATATATACTTTCTATATATATGTATATATGTATATAATTATTATATATTAAAAATACATGATTATCAATTTATATGAAATATAAAATACATCGAAGCATATATTCTAACGCAATAGCGAAAATGAGCATATCTCAACAGAATCACTGATTCATAATTTATTGTGAAAAATACCTACGGGGTATGCAAAATTTTCAGGTGACATTTAAATTTTATTAACTTTTTCCACTTTTTTCTCTCTATAGTTTTTAAATTTCTTCTTTTAAATTTAAACCCGCCAACGAATTTTTGGTATATAAGTTCAAAATAGTTCTAAATATTTATTCATACCAAAACAGTATTGTTTAAAAAATGGGAGTTAAGGATCTATGGTCGGTGTTAACGCCACATGCTGAGAGAAAGCCCTTATGTGAATTACGAGGTAAAAAAGTGGCCATAGACCTGGCTGGCTGGATCTGTGAAAGTTTAAATGTGGTAGATTATTTTGTGCATCCCAGACAGCATTTGAAGTAGGTGATATGTCTTATTTATATTTATAATTTACTTTATAACCACTGATCACGACATAAATTGATTTTTGATTTCAAACAAAAGAAACCTATTCTTTCGGACATGTTATTTGATATGGGAGGACGTGACTCCCGTTTTTATCCTAGAAGGCCAAGCACCCAAACTAAAGAGTCAAATTATTTCAAAACGCTCCCAGCAGCAATTCCGTGGTGCCAAACCTAAACAAAATAAATTAGAAAAGCAATCAACAGAAACTAAAGAAAAGGATAAAGGGCGGACAAGATTTAACCATGTGTTGAAACAATGCGAAACCTTATTGCAGTCAATGGGTATCCAATGTTTTCAAGCACCAGGCGAAGCCGAAGCTTACTGCGCGTTTCTTAACAAAAAAGGGGTATAAAATTATTTGTATTATTTTAGTTACTCTCTTTTTTATAATTTTTTTATGGAGCAGTTAGTTGATGGTGTGATTAGCCAGGATTCAGATTGCTTCGCTTATGGCGCCATTCGTGTCTATCGGAATTTTTCGGTGTCCACTCAGGGCGCCCAAGCAGCACAAGGCGGTGCAGTAGATATCTATGACATGCAACAAATAAAAGGAAAAATGGGTTCGTGTAAATGTATATACTTGTTATATCAGAATATATTTCATAAACAAAATATTTTTATTATCCTTAAGATTTCGGTCAAAACAAAACTATTGTAATGGCACTACTCTGTGGCTGTGATTATTGTCCTGATGGGATCGGCGGCATTGGACGTGATGGTGTTTTAAAGTTATTCAATAAGTACAAAGAACAAGAAATATTAGAAAGGTATAATAAAACATTTGAATGCAGCATAATACGTATAGAGAATTTTTTATGTTTAGAATAAGATCGTGGCGGCAAGATGATAATAAATATACTGCTTTGGAAATGCGCGTGGATGATAAAATGATTTGCAGCAATTGCGGGCACATGGGCCGTACACAAAGTCATACAAAGAACGGATGTGGAATTTGCCAGACTCATCGTGGTTGTGATGAGAGTTTGTGGAAGTAAGTATAGACCATTACACAACGCTTTCGTTTTCATAATTAACATAGAGCCGCTTAGATTTCGTAAAAATCATTTATTTAAAAAGTCTTTACTATTAAAAAAAATTTTTTTTTTTAATTTTCTTATAGAGAAGAACGTTTATCGTTAAAAGCAGAACTTTCACTACGTAAGAAGGCAATGACGGACCCGTTATTTCCATCCGAAGAAATCATTGCTGAGTTCCTCAACGAACCCTCCACGGTTCCCACTTTAACTTTAACTTGGAGGCAGCCTAACATAATAAAATTTGTAAAGCAAATTGGACACCTGCTGCAATGGACAGAAATTTACTGCTTTCAGAAGTTCTTACCGCTTTTAACACGTTGGCAAGTACACAATTATAAAAAAATAAAAGATCTGAATGCAGTCTTTTTTATGTCGATTAAAGAAATAGTAAAAAAACGAACTGTTCGAGGAGTAATCAGCCTTGAAATTGTTTGGGAGGATGAGAATGGCTTCTTCAATGGTCTAATACCAAAAAATCAGCTGGAAGAATTCGAAAAAGAAAATACAAAAGGTCTTATTGGACTTTGGAGCACAATAGAACCGCTTTATTTAGTCGAAAATGCCTATCCGGAAATGGTGGATGTCTTTCTAAAATCCAAGGAAAAACCACCAAAAACAACAAAAGGCCGTCGGAAAAGCAAAGCACCTAGTAAAGCCGTGCTAAGTTCACTAGATAATTTAACCGACTTAATAAATGCTACCGAAGAAGTAGCGAAAGACATCGAACCAAAAACCAGTAAACTAAAGAATTGTATTAAAAAAAAAGGCATTCAATTGATTGACAAATTCTTTAAACATCAACATGTATCTGCTGAACATGTTACCTCTATTAAAAATCAAAGTCTATACAGAATAGCACAGTGTTCTACTCCTGTTACCAAAACTTTGCCATCAGATTTAGAAAGTGATAGCGATGATATAGAACATGAAATTTCAGATATAGTACGTGGAATCGTTAATGCTCCTGACCGAGTTGTCCAAATTACCACACATAAAGGACAACCTTTATATTATGAACCGGTTACAGAAAATTTAAGCATTTTACTTAATGAATGCAGTATTAAAGATGACTTGGATTTAATAGCTCACAAAAGAAATTTATCAATTTGTTCGCATAAAGGTGATAATGGAACTCCTTTATCGAAGCGAATATCATTAGATGACAGCTTTGATGCTTTGGTAAATGCGAAACGGCACAAGATTCGTAGCTTAGCGGAAAAGGCGAAAAATTTAAATTTGTTTACCACCCCAACAACCTCACCAAAACTTAAGTCACATGTGGATCGTTTTGTAGAGCAACACTTTCCACATAGACATAGCTTAAATGTAAGCGATCAGCAGCCAAATAAAATATATACAAATTTATCGTCAGAGAATGAAAATGTTGAAAATATAAGCTATTTTTTTAATAAGGATAGTTGTGAAAACGATGAATTCGAAAAATTAATGGATTTAAGCTTAATAAATAAACCAAGAACTACATCGATTTTCAATGCTTCAGATGATGTCTTAATTATAAACGAAAGCAGTGATGACTGTTGATGTTTACTTTTATCCATTTTTTTTGTTTTTATATAAATATTTATTTGTAATGATGTACGTTTATAATATACGCAGATAGTGTGTTAATAAAAATAATTTGGTTTTTAGCATTATTGTGAAGTTGAATTTGTCAATAATATAATAATCATATTACAGTATATTCAAATAAGCAGATACTAACTCACACCAACTTAAACAACTCGCCATGCCACACTTCTTAAATCCTGTTATATGCATATACAAACATGTATTTGCTTAGTACATTAATATAGTTATTGCTAATCAATTTCGCACATTTCATCACTTATACTTTGTCTAAATATACATATTTGATTTTGATTTGCTCAACAAAAATTAATTAATTTATTGCTTTCGAGACTGGAAATAAATGGCCATACATATATACACATACTAGTACATATGTATGTATTTTTAACTTGAAAGATTTTGATAAAACCATATAATCGTAAAAATCCCTGAATTTGGTGTCACAATACAGAATATTCGCTTATTGTCATGCTTGGTATTTACAAATAATGAAGTCCATGGCAACTGTTATATTATTTTCATTTTGAAATCGGTTTCTAAGGAAACACTATAAAATAACAATCGGTAAGCATTCCTTTCAGCCTTCTAGTCAATGTCGTTTAATTTTTAGTTTTTTAGAGTAAATATCTTTTATAATTAAATATATAAAATGGATGAGCTGTCAGAATACTCCTCAGAAATTCTAGAATTCATGCCAACACAACAGATGGGGAAGCAATGTAAAATGGTCGAAGCTTGTGTAAGCACAGACTTACAGGCAAGTAGTCAGGATAAATATGTGGAAACGACACTTGGTTTACACACAAGCACACAAACAGAACTCTCCGCTTCATCACATAGCCAAGTTGATGAGCAAAGACTTGCGATGTGGTTGAGAAAAATTTATCCAGCTGTTGAAGCACAACTACTCAAAGGAACTACTCCTTTAAACAACAGCTGTGAGACTGTTGGCCATGCTTTTACCTCTTCCACCGAAAAATTGAATATTCAAATATATCAGAAAATCACCGTTGGAGCAACAGAAAATTCCCAAGGCATCGCAACATGGTTATCGGTACATACAAACAATGCACCCATCCTAGTGGTAAGCACCAGATCGCCACATGACAGCTGGTGTGATCATTTGCAGCAAACTCTAAAGCTGTTGATACCCAACCGCATGCAAACAGGCAACCTAGTTGTTTATACTGAAGTGAAAAGTCTGTCGCTTAAGGCATGTCTTCTTTGCCTCAGTACGAATACGTACAACAAGAGTATATTTGCTGGCTCCACCATGGACGGTGACATACATATATGGGGATGTCGATCAAGTAATCGAGTTGGAAATAATAAATCGTATGTAAATTTGGCCAGTACATATGAAATTGAAGACCTATTTTGTGCAGCATCTCCTCACGGTTATGCTGTGGTTTTGTGCTGGTCAAGTGAAAATCGTCTGCTTAGTTTCCATTCTAATGGTTTCATCCTTAGCTGGATAGTGGGCAAAGAATTGCTTTTGGAAAATGAGTGAGTATCTCTAAATTTTAATTGGCATTCATTTTGAACACATTATTGAACACATACAATTGAAAAAGGTGAAATATTATTTTGAATAAGTGTGGACGAAGACCGAAGTGTGAAAGAGTAATAAATACATAAGTGACTCCTTCCACTAACTAACTTGCAGAACTAATTGTCTTTTTTGAATATCTTTGTCATCGTAATTTTTGGTACGTCCATATTTTATTCAAATAATGCTTAACTACATGTCAAGCGGAAACAAGTATTCAACAAGTAATAAGTATAATTCTTTTGGCAAAGTTTCCAACTAAAAGTGCAAGTCAGTGAGATTACAGCGGCTGTTTGTTTGACTGCGAACACTTGCGTTGTAGGCGCCAAGGATGGTTCCCTATTTTTGTGTACTATAACCAGTTTCGGTACAATGCGAAAACAAATGGAAGTAGTGCCGTTGAAAAAGCATTCATTTATGATTTCAACATTAATCAAAACCGTGTTCAATAATTGTCCATCGGTTATAAGTTGCGATTTAAGCGGAGAAGTCCTTTGTCACAGCATATCACATACAAAGGAGGTGAGTATGACACATACCCACACGAATATAAAAGCCAGCCATATTTAAGTGTCATTTTTAAAAATAATTTAATATATATAAATTTTTAATTAAATTTTCAAAGGAAAATCGGGTCTTACGGATCCCGTTGCCATTTAAAAATGCGATTACCTGTTCTAAGGATGGACATGTTATCTATTCTCCCGGGACCGATGGCTCTTTGGAATGTTATAAGTAATCTATAAACATTTTTATAATATTAATATATGGAAGACTCATACCTACATGTATGGTTTCTGATATTGCAGCATAGTCAGTGGAGTTCATACTATTGTTAAAGGGGCTTTACGTGGCAAAGGGAATTTCATCGCCTCTAGTGATAATGGGTACTTGTTTAATTACATAATTATGTTCATGAACCTTAGTTGTGTTGAGAACTACGTTTGCCCCTACATTCAGAATTTTTTCAGTAATTTCGCTTCTTTTTAGGAACTGGATAATCACTGGACTTTACGTAGAAGACTTCCAAATATTTTACATAGACCAGTAGATGGTGCATGAAGAATTCGCTATACGCAAGACAAAATATGTATATGTATAAATGGTATATCTGAACATTTTGAGTACCGCTGTTGCAATGAGTAAAAGAAACAATAATAAATAATATTAATTTATAATAAATGGAATTTATTGTGTTTAATTTTACTATATACATATACGTTTAATTATTCACTCTCTTTTATACACAAATATTTGATGTAAAATTTTATGAATAATGCTTAATGACTGCACATTCATTTTTCGAGTATATTTAAAATAATATGTGTATTGTATAATAACTGTTTATTTATAATATAGATGTAATATAAAAAATTTCATGTTTCCTTCAATACAATTATCAAACAGTTAATCCGATTCGTTAACACATCACAGACAAAAAATAATCAAGAAACGTGCTTCATTACTATTATTATAAATGTATAAACACATTTTTCTTAAAAATGTTTATACTCACTTTGTTCCAAACGTATTCCTAAAAAATGTATAAAACAAAAAATATCCGCGACCGAAACCCGTAGTAGGAAGACTATATAGGAATTGAAAAAAGAAACAAAATATAGTTGTTGCTTGTAAGCTTTGTACATTTTAAATGTGCCTTATATCAGGGTAATTAGTACTTTCTATTATGCTAAAATAAAGCAAAAAGGTTTATAAACAAATTTAGTTATTTATGATCTCTTCATATACATGTTTTCTTTAATTTCTCTTTCGTAAGTAAGTAGTGATGTAAAGATTTAATACACAGAAAAGTGTATTTGATATATGGTGACATTTTATTAATACATCTATCGCTATATGATCCTAGTATTTCTTACAGTTTACATAAAATCGTCTATATGGTATTATAAAGTGTGTTCCTTTGCAAAATATCAGATCGATAGAAATATATTAAAATTGTAAACATATAAATTTAACAATTTACATAAAACATATCAAAAATATATATATATATACTTGTATAATTGAAAAAAATTGGATACTTAACGCGCACTTATATATACATAAAATCATCTAAGCTTCGAAAGATTGGATTTATCAAATTTGGCGCTGCCAAAATATAGAACTAAAACAATTTCCTATCAGCATATAATTGTAGAATTCTCGAAAAATAATGCAATAAATAATCTTTTAATCATACACATATAATTAAATACATAATTAGATGCCAGCACGAATTGTATATGTTAAACGTATAGTTAGACTAACAAAAAATGATATTGAAAATAATTCAACTAAATATGTAATTATATACAACAAAGAGTTTGTCGAGATAAAAAATTGCCAAACGCATCCCGATGATCAATGCCAAGTTCGTAAAGAATTGTCGCAATTAATTGAATAAGACAGTATTTGGATCCTCATTGTCCATTTGCTTGACGTGACGCAAAACATCTTTTTTCGTTATAACACCCAGCAAACGTCTGAAAACATTAAATGTAATTGTAATTTGTATTTTTAGAGAATCTTAGTGGTTAAATCGACACAAAGACTTTATGTATGAAGTTCAATATCTAGCAACTGTTCGAATGATGCAATTTTATTGACTGAAAACAAAAATTGAAAAAAATTTACCCGTTGTGGGTCACTAGAGTTTGTCGTAAGCCCAACTTTCGAAACATATCCACCACAGTTTCCATAGGTGTCTGATCTGTCACCGTTATGGGTGCCATGTCAAGTATCTTTTTCAACTTGAGTGGCGGTGGTCCCAAATTTTGTGTAGCCGCTGATGCTGAAGTGAATAATACTATTGATGCGCCAGTTATGCCCTCGATCAACCGTTTGGCATTTCCTGATGGAATACAAAACATTTGTAATTCCTTATTCTTTTATTTGGTGAAAAGGTTGAAGTAATTAATTTACCTATAGCTAAATTTAGATCTCTCCTCAGAACAAAACCCACTAAATACTGACTTTCTTTAGACACTACAACTGGATATCCATTGTGCTCCGTTTCTTTTAGTAATGTCTCGACGTCATCGACAGTCATGGAATCTTGTGTGATGACATTAAGAGTTTCATTTCTCCTAAAAAATGATAACGAATATTAATAAATTGACCAATTTAAAGAGTGTCATCAACTTGCTTTGGCTGCATTACGTCGGCGGCCAGTGTTGTATGTGCAAACTCTTCTTTACTATCTAGGAACGGATAACCGTTAAGAGCTATATGCGCATCATAGATACCCTGAAAAAATGACAACGAAAAAAATGTAGGAAAAAATCATCAAATTTGGAACAGAAAAATGTATTTTTAGAAAAAAAGACACTCACCTGTCTACCTAGTGCGTCTCCAACCCATTTTGAAGCCATAGCTGCTGCCATCAACGGAACTATATAGCCAACGCCACCAGTCAGTTCGAACATGATTACTACTAAAGATACTGTCATGCGTGTAACACCACCCAAAGTAGCTGCTGCGCCTACCATTGCATACAATCCGGGTGTAATCAGATTTTTGCCATTAACACATTCACCCGTAAAGAGCCATATATTCGGATAGCTGTACGCAAAACGTTCCACACCTAAGGAAATACAAGCAAAGATTAACACAACAATTTGGCAATAAGTTATCATAACCTTACCAATTCCTACAATACGACCCATAATTGAACCCATCAAAAGAGATGGTATAAATAATCCCGCTGGAACTTTCATTCCAAATGTGAAAACAGCCAAAGCTAGCTTGAATACAAAAGCTAGTAGCAGTAAAATAATGGCATGATATACACCGGGGCCCGGCTCCGTTACTTCTATCGAAGACGTGGCTCCATTTGTGATGTTCATACGCTTGTAGTCGCTGAAATTAGTTAATTAAATCATTTTTATTAAGCCGAATCAACTCAATATATATAATATCATTTTTTGGTACTAACCATAGTGGATTCGTGCTATCTCCGGGAGAGCATTGGCTAAAAAGCAAGTAAATAAGCTCGTTCATATTCATTCGGGTAAATGGATTGGGAAAGCATAAGATACCAGTAACGAGTGTTACCACCAGCACTTCAGCAACAGGATATTGGCCTAACTTACTAAATTTACGATAACGGCACCACCATAAATTTGCTTTGATGAATATGGTGCCGATCACGCCCTATAATATTATTCGCACATATAAAAGATTAGAATGAAAAATTTTGTTCAAGTACTTACGCCCATTATTCCTAAGAAGACGAATGGTATAAGCTCGAAAAATATCCAAGGCTTATTATATTCGACGAAGAATAAAACTGAATGCTCATTACCAAAGGGTGTCAGCGAACGCAAAACAAATGCAGCAATCAATGCACAAAAGAAAGATCGCCACAGTGTTTTTAATGGAAAATAGTAGGAGACCTCCTCAAGTGAGAATAACACACCACCAATTGGTGCCCCGAAAGCCACAGAAACACCGGCTGCCGCAGCTGCAGATAAAATCTCTCTTTTCTTTGCTTCGTTGCGTCCATATTTGGGGAACATATGAGAAAATATATTGCCAATACAACTGGCAATATGTACCATGGGACCTTCTTTGCCCAACGTTAAGCCCGCTGATACAGAAAGCATCAGACCAACAGATTTAATTAGTAATGTCCATTTCCCCAAATAACCGCGAATAATAAATCCCGAAAGAATCGTCTTGATTTCAGGAATACCAGATCCACAAGCATATGGAGCGAACATGCGCACTAAAGATGCACTTAGTGCAGCAAACATCAAAGCCCACAAAATGAACCAGAAGTACGACACAATATAGGCACCGGTCCCATTACGATCCATACCCATTATCTCAGGCCATGTTTTCCACTTTAAATAATCAAAACAAACACTTTAACTTTATGTACGCGCTATCTAATAATATCACATTTTACCGTTGAGCAATTCCCTTCCTCGAAAACGGACTGCTTGGTTGGCCAACAGCATTGCTCGCGATTGAACCAAAAAGCCTGTGGGCAAATACCATGTTTCAAATCGGACATCCAACTAGCGCCAATGTCGATCATGCCAGCTACGAAACCAGCAGCAATACCAACAAAGAGGACACAAAGCCAACCAGACCACGCGTCATGAGCACCCTTTGAAAATATTTTCTTTTAGTACTTAGTCACATATAAAATAAGCAGCAAACCTTCAGTAAATCCCACAATGAATCCTGCCGCTTTTTCACTATATAGCGATGGCGCATGCGATCGCGAGCAATATCACGCTGCCAATCGATCGTGTGAAAATCGTCGTACTGCCCAATGCCTGGTATGTCATCGTGTGCATCTACATATTAAAGAATTTGATATTTATAAGTAAATACATGCCTGCATCTGATATAACAATTTACATATGTTTATGGATGTTTGTGCATATTTCTATCGCTTACCCGATACACCGTAGAACGCCATTCCACCTTTACCCATGAAAAGAACAAATTTTTAATAAACGTGAATATTCAACCGCCAAAATTATAAATATAATAGCTATATCTATAGAGGCAAAGTAAAAAAAAAACTTTCAATGGGAGTATACATAAGAAGCTGCTCTCTTTGTTCAAGTGTAAAATATTTAAAACACTCCGTTAAATACGGGTACGAATTGCGTAAAAAGATATTATCACTCGTTGAACAATTTATGCTTAACACGCATTCATACATACAGTATTTGCGTTTTAAATAACGGGAATGTCTGTTATCTCCCATGTGAGATACATTTTGCAAGTGATTATACGCTTCAAATGTAAAGTATATCTAATTCTGATTTTTCACGTTTGATTTAACACAATTTGAAAATAAAACAATTTTTAATTTCTTACACGATGATTTTTGTTCAATTTAGCACAATTTAAAAATTTTTGGCTTAAATTTCTTTGGTCAGATTTAATTTTCGTGAAATATGTATGATCAAATCACAAATTCAGAGGAATCCTCTTTTTTGTGGATACAACCAATTTTGCTGATCAAGCAATTGTAAATAGCAAAAATTTAGGAAAGAATTAGATGTGCACACTTCTTTAAAATGTAATGCAATTCCAAATATATTAAGCCATTAATATTATACTTTAAAATATCAACTTTTCATAGCATAGGTTCTCGACCAGGCAGTTTGCAGATAATTGTTTTCGTTACAATACAATGGTCGAATTCAATATGTGTGTTGAAAAATTGATATCATTTGATAGTCAGTTTTACATGCTAACAATTATTTCAACTAATGTTCTACATGTGAACATTATCACTCAGTGCAGTTATCTCTTGATTATCCAATTAAATTAATCTGCGCTTCTACCAAGTGCTAATGAGAGTGTAAATAATTGAATGCATCAAAAGTAAACGCGTACACAACAGAATTAAACGAATAGTCTAAATGCTTATATTTTGATAAATGACACAGGACATAAACAATTTCATCTAACACTTGCGACACCATTAAAAGCATGCCCGACTTACTAGTTTACTAAATTTAATATTGACCAAAAGAACCATGTAGATAAAATATTAACTCATTTAAAAAATTAGCGATTGGAATTATAACACGAATGTATCTTCTCGTTTACGCTTAGGTACATACAAATATTTGTATGTATTCGAGTAGGAATAACAAAATAATAATAATTTATATCAATCTTTGAAGCAGGTTAAACCATATGCACATGTGATATATGTACGTGTACAATATACAGTTACGTTTACAAAAATAGCAGTGCTCATTTAGGAAGGAGAAAAAGTTGTAGGTTTTCTAAATGAAGTACAATCCAAATTTAATTCAACTGGTTTTCTAGACGAACTACTATATAGACGAATAACCACATGTATAAAGTGCACTAAATTTTTATACGTTTATTCGACAAAGTTAAAAAGATTTCAAAGTAGGTGAAACATTTCATAGAATTAGCAGTGAAACTACAAAAGACCAAAAATTTCAATGGTTAATTAAATTATTTAGTAACGCAACTAGTATTAAGTCGAATAGGCACATCTTTAAAGCATGGCGTCCATTTATCCCATGCACCTATCATCCTGACTTATTGTCTACATTTCATATTGTAAAAAGTTTTATTAGTCTGTATTTTTGCTTGAACATATTGCACACATTTTCGACAGAGTTCAGATCAGTAAATGAAAATGGCTTGCATCAATATTGTTCGCTCTAAACGAATTGTATGTGTACCTCGTGGCATGCTTCGAGTCATCCGTCTTATAAAAAGGTCAAATTTTGAAAATTCCCTATATACTGAAGTTATTAATTGGATATATGTATTTGAGCTGGTCTAGAATGCTTTCAATTCTATATATAGACGACCCAACACTGTATAAAAGCAGTTCCAAACCATTACTTATAGTCCTGCACCCTTCTCAGTGAGAACAGTATACTGAGACATATTAGATCAGTTTTGATGATTAGGGCTGATAATATTTAAAACTAAAAAGTACCTCTTTATCTTTATTCGTTCATAAAATATTTCTACATTTTGACACAGAACGAAACTTCGGACCCTATGAAAAATATAAATAAATGATCAGCATGAGCCGAGTCGATATAGCATAGTCCGTGTGTCTGTATATACGCGACCTAGTCCCTCAGTTTTTGAGATATTGATTTGAAATTTGGCACACGTCTTTTTCTAAAGAAGCTGCTTATTTGTCGTAACCGCAGATATCGGACCACTATAACATATAGCTATCTTACAGGCTGAACGACCGAAATCAAGGCTTGTATGCAAAGGTTTTTCATTTGACTAGATGTCTTCACTAAATTGGCATCGGCGTGCAACCGATGTTAACGTTTTTCCTTGTTTAAAGAACTTTTTTGCAAAGACGGATTTTTTTTTAATAATCAAACGAAGCGTATACATTTATATATGTCTGAATTTTTTAAATTTAATTTCTGAGTGAGAAATCTGGCCATTTGTTGGCACTACAGTTGTTGAGCTCAAACTTTTTTCTTACACGCGTTGCGGTGAACATTATTAGTAGTTTATATCACAACGAATTCATTCGTTCAACTATGAGATGTTGCAGTTTTTAAGTAGGCTGCAAAAGTTAGTCGATAGGGAAACCTAACAGTTACTTTAAACAAACCTGAATTAAAAGTTATATACTATGTTATACCGTTATGTCTATCTGAAATCACAATTTCACATAAAATTGGTTTCGCAAGTAGATCAGTTTTTTACATTAAGGCATATCCCAACTCGCAGTGCTATTAATATGATCATAACTGTACATATGTATATGTGCAGACGTACACACTTATATATTATATCATCGGCAAATGTAAACATCACCTTTTTAACTCGAATACTCACTATCATTTGCATCGCCGAAGGCGCTATGTGTTGGAACATGGTGATGGTTTCGCGAGTAATGATCAGCATCCATATCTGAGTCAGCCGAAGTGTGACGTTTGTAATTAAAATTGGACGAATGCACCACATCTCCTGGACTTGAATGAGGTGTGATGTCGATCATTTCGTCGTCGTCGTCGTCGGGAACTGTGAGAGAAGTTTTCGCTACAGAACCGTTACTCTCTTTTGTTAGAGATGATGTAGCCAATGGATGATCCTGAGTACCAGTAATATCTCCTATGGCTCCCGTATGGCCATTCGACTAAAAATTATTAAATTATTTAAACATTAAAATATTATAACAATACACTATCAGTTTTTTGTGGAAAATTTGTTTATTTGAATATGTAAGAATATCGGGTAAATTTTAGAATAGCATCTCCCGAATTCGGAGTTAAAATGGGTATGGGCGGATAGAGGAGGTTTGCAAAGAAATATTCTTATAAATATTGTACTTCCGTAAGTAAACAAACTCATTTAGTAAAATTTAATTTCGTTTCGAATTAAATATATACACTCATGCACTAATATCACTTACAGTAGGCGTATAACTCACATACCTTTTTTAATACCGACTGATAGGCTGTAATGTAACTATTCCCTTCAGCTGCAATCTCCCTGTTGCCTTTTAGAGGAAATTTTTCCATAACGATTTAGCTTATACTTTCAATGCAGTCCCACTAGAAAAAAAAAATAAATATTGCTAGTTACATATTTGCACAATTGAAAACCATTTAATACATATAAATAAAACACACATCGGTTAAGGAATATATAATTGTAAACATTTATCGCATTCCACACTAAGAAGCTATATTAAATTTTTATTAAATTACAAACTAGATTGAAGTTTAGATTAATTACAACTAGATTGAAGTTTCTCAAACAAAGAAAATTGTATTATAAATACTACCTAAAATATTCACTACGTTCAATTTAACATTACTTCACACTTCCATACATTTTACACCAATGTGCCGAATATTAGTAAAACTTATTTTTAGTAAATAAATTTAAAATACATACTCATCTCAACAAATTTAATTATTGCGCAAACTTGAGCAGGAATCACCAAATATATTTTGTGAGAATGAAAAATTTTATTTGCACTCACACACGATCAAAACGAAAGAAAAAAGCTAATGACGTCCCAAACCTTGCGATGCTCAGAGTTGCTTCAGTCTTGAAAAATATTTGCTTATATCAAAAACTGGTTACAGTTAGCCATTTGGCATTTGCGTAAATTGTCGTGTATCAGGAATTGTTGCAAAAATGAAAATGAGGTTGGCTTTTATTCAATTTTACAGCAAATGATTTGATTGTGATATAGTTAGCATGGTAAATTACTTACGTTAGTAACTTTTTTATTTTTTGTGTAGTCAAATGCAACCCTAAAGCATAAAACATATCTGAACTAGTTAAAAGACAGCTGATGTTTAAGGCTGGAATATACTATGATTTATTTCGAATCCACCACCATCGATTAAATGATATGATTTTCTTATAGATGTATGTATGTAAATACTATGTTCCTTTAGAATTCGGAAATACATTTCTGTTAATTTATACCGATTTATTGCATGTTTTATAGTATTTCAGCAAAAGCTTCCTGTGGTAAAATATTTGTAGTGATAGGTCAACGTAGCGGATAAATTCGAATGTCGAACAAAACGACCCGGAAATTAAGATCTATTGATCTCAGACAACTTTTCTGGTTTCCTAGCAATGTCATCGAAAATTAAGTAATGAAATATAGCATAAATGAATTCCTAGTTACTTAAGAAATTCCCTCGGAAGTTCCATATTGCCAGGAATAGAATATACTATGGAACGGATATTTCACTACAACTGTACAATCTTCTTCGTTCAGTTCCGTTTGTTGGAAATAACGACTTATAGATGTTAGTTCATATCCCAATTTAAAAAGAACAAGTTGCAACTGATTGTTATCAGATTTGCATTCCTTTCAGGCTCTCTCGTTATTAGTACACATTTTTACATACATACATACATACTTATGTATGAGAATGTACATATACGTAGGTATATGTACTATTTCTTTATACATATGTTTCTATTTATATTTGCTGGAAGCAATTGGATTTTATGGAAAAAGCAAAAACTTCGGAAGACCTCTGTGCGAATTTAATATACATATGTATATACATACATGCATATGCACATATAACAAGTTCAAAAACTTATAAGAACCCTTAAATTTTTTCGTTTCAACGTCATCTAAACGAGTTTGAACTACAACTACAGATGTATAAAAATACATAAGGCTGTAGCATATGCATGTTTGCATATTTGCCTCTAATAAAATATAATATAAAAAAGTTAATATCTATTTGTTTTGTCTAAATCCTTTTAATTAACCTTTTAATGCATTTATTTTACTTAGCATTACAAAAAGTCCTGCCCATACATACAAGTATATGCACATATGTATGTATGTATAAATATCGCCTGCTTTAACGTATCCGTTTGCAATAAAAACACAGCTCTTAAGTATGTGTACCATAGATAACATGCACACAAATATAGAACTAACGTTTGCAGAACTATATTGGCAGAGTCTATAACAAACAAGTCGTAAAAATCTTAGATAACAGGAAATAAAACAACGCACAATCAAATGTTTGTGAAGTATCTGCGTCTCTGATTTGTTTGATCTGGAATTGACACTCACTCTAGTTGCGTATACGGGACTCCTGCTGTGATTAACATGCTCTATTCAGGTATAAAAACCAAAGCAAATCCTTATAGTTCATCAGTTGTTATCTGCAATCCTTCGGAGAATTTTCATCGCTCAGTGCAATACCGTTAAATATAACAGTTAAAAATGGTTAAGCTAGTTTGTCTTGTTTTCACTTTGTCTTTCTGTTTAGTATTATATTCATCTCAAGCGTTGCCTACTCCCGATGAGGAGCGTTACATGGAAAAAGAAGTAAGTGTCACCAAATTTCAAAATTTGTATATTAATGGATCTATATATACCAATTTCAGTACAACCGCGAGCTTTTAAATTGGCTCAACTCTATACAATACCCACAGGCTTATGCAGCCCCTTGTAAATATTATCCGATCAATAGTTTGACTGGACCTGTACCAAAAAGGAACTCGGAGTTGATTAATTCATTGCTTAGCCTGCCAAAAAGCATGAACGAGGCTGGAAAATAAATTATGAACTGAACTAATGTTTTCCGTATGTAATTTAAAAATATATATGTAGATAAATCCATTTCGAAGGTAACACGCAATGTGAGAGGTTAGGTATTTCCTATACAAATACATATATTTATTCAAAATATATATATATAATTATAAAACAATTCAAAAATACTCTACTGTATTACAAATTATATAAAGATGTAACAAGTAAAGTGCTATAATAATAATGTCGTTAATTATGTCGTTATAAATCACCAAATAAAAGTAATTGAAAAACAAATGAATTCCAAAGAAAATTAGTTCATGGGTTGGGAGTTTTTCGATTCAATATTAATCAAACTTTGAAGTTAAGAAAACTTATATGTTTGGTTAAATAAATTGATTCAAATTTTGAAACTCTTGGGTAAAGTATTTATTCTTCGAAACTTCTTATCCCCTGTTCGTTGCAATCTTCTCTATCAAGTTACGTAATATTACATATACCGTTAATATTTGTGTAAGGGTAGATGATAACCGCATTAGTGGAGTCACATCCTGCCGTCACGCTATAAGATGCGCAGAATTCTGAGTATTTAATTAGGTACCCCTATTTTGCCTGATATACGTGCATCTTTTTATGTGATATAAATTGAAAGACAGTGCTCATTTATTTATTTCATTTTTCATGTACCCTATTATTTTGTCTTGAAATCGAATCCTTAATTTTTATACTTGCCTCTAAAATAGTCAAAACAAGAACAAATAGTTTGCAAGTACTATCATAACATTATATGAAATGTTACCCACGAAATATACGATTCCCTATCTCGTAATTCTGATCTGTAAAGAATTACCTTTGTCGGTCGGAAAACGTATATGTAATATATTGTGGCACGTTAGCTGTGCACATAACTTAACTGTAAAATCATGGAAATATGGCAGCCGCATTTCAATTGTAAAAGAACTGGGAATAACAAATCGATATATATCGTAAATAATCAGTTGGTATTAAATAAACAACTGCAAGTCTAAAATATAAATGTAGTTGCTATCTTTTGCATCAGTATTATATACAATTTAATTCAAACGAATTGATTTCGAATAAAAAGAAATAATCTATATGTAAATATATATGAGTGTATATTTATGTCAAATTTGTACATTCAGGCTGTCATCACTTTATTAGTACGCTGGCATACATTTTGTTTACGTTAAATGTTTTGTCTATTTCAGAGATGCTGTAATTTTTCTACTCAGTGGCAAGCAATAAAGAGTGCAAAATATAATTTCAGAATTTATAGTTATGGCTGGGTTTGTAGCAGTTCATACTGGTAGGAGGATTGTCAATTTTAATTGAACATGAAAATATTGTTTTTCAATGAATTGTTCTTTAGGTGCTGGTAATTGTATAGATGAAACGAAATACCAGCGTGTTATTAAGGAAGCTTGTGTTCGAGCAACAGATGTACTAAAGAATGGGGGTTCGGCGATGGATGCTTGCGAGGCGGCAATAGTTCGCCTTGAGAATTGTGGCAATACGAATGCCGGATTTGGGTCTAACCTTTGTTGGGATGGTCGAGTGCAATGTGATGCATCTATAATGAACGGTTCAAATTTACACTTTGGAGCTTGTACTAACGTCAGCACTGTACGAAATCCTATACGATTAGCTCGATTATTATGCGATGGACAATCAACTATGCTATCAATGGAACGAATACCACCAATGGTTATGGCGGGTAGCGGTGCAGAAAGATATGCAGAAGAACTGGGTTGTACTATGATCGACTCAAGTGCATTGATATCTTCTAAAGCAAAACTCTCATATAACCATTATAAATCTAAAATATCGGCGATAACATCTGCTTCTGAAGCACCTACTTCATCAGTTGTCCCGACTCAAGTTAGTGCACTTGATACGGTGGGTGCTGTGTGTGTAGATAGTGCCGGTAATACCGCTGCTGGTTGTAGCTCTGGTGGCTTATTACTGAAAGTGCCGGGCCGAGTTGGCCAGGCGGCTACTTATGGCGCAGGGTGTTGGGCAACTAACACCACAGAGACCTCCGTGGCCACTTGTACAACGGGAAATGGTGAATATTTAATGAAAACTTTATTAGCAAAAGAAATATGTGTCGATTTGTTGACAAGCGATTGTGCCGTAACGAGCTTACATAAAAGCTTGAAAAGTAAATTTCTGGAATCACCATTCCTTCCCGTTGACCAGGAATTGTATGCCGGAGCGCTTTCGCTTATTTACTATCCTCATGGTAATACAGGAGAAGTATTATGGAGTCACACAACAAAATCATTTTGTGTTGGCTACATGTCCACGCAACAAAAAGCACCAAAGGTCAGTACTTTCAATAATGTGGTTTTACGAAAAAATTAATTTTTATCTTACAGTTCATATATTCCCCACTGCCAACGTATAGTATAGCGGGAAGATCTTGTGTGGTCAATGGGCATAATTTCCATTTACGCGTTTAATCGCCGCCTCAGCTGCCATAGCTTGCATTAATGATGTCAGCATTTATTGTGAGTGCTGGCGTTGTATGTATTCAGCATTCATTATTTATTTTCGAATGTTTTCGTGTACAAAACAAAAAGTTTATATACATATACTAAGCAAGCACAATTGTGATTAAGAATTTCCATTCGAAAGTCATTTTTATTCAAAAATTGTGTGTTTATTATGTTTGTAAAGTATATATTATTTTAAAAAGGCGATTTACAAAAAGTAAATACTTATAAAAAATATAGTAAGTATTTAGGACGATTTATATATGATATATGTTTAATATTATAGCCAGCTTAACAAGTATTTTTTTTATTCAATTGTGAGGAAATGCTTTTATTTTTGCCAAAGCGTGAGTGACCGAAGCATAAAACGTACATAAATATTGTTTTAAATTTATCGTTTACGTATGTATATAATACTCATAATTTCTATAATAGATAAAGGCAAATGTGGTATTTCGAAAACTTGCAACATGTATAGGCATATGTTGCTGTATTAGATGTAATGATGATTTCTATAAACTAGAAAATGTGTGCATTTATAGTTACGGAATCGATATTTTATTAAGTAAACACTAAACTAGAGTAAAATATATTAATGTTATGTAACTCTTTCGTTGTTGTGTATATTTGGAAGAAATTCATAAAAGATTTACTTTATTTCCAGCAATGACTATTCGAGTTCCATTATGCATACATACATATATAAGTGATAAATAAAATTGTGCGCATTGTAGGACCAATATATATTATTATGCGAAAATAATCACAATCAGAGTAATAAGAAAAATAGTATAAATATTTTGAAATGGAAAGCATGATTTGTTGGAAGTACTATTTATCTGGGTTCAATCACATAGATGTAGATGTGTATTTAACAAAAATCTAACATGATAAAAATGAAGAGCCTCCATTAAATTCGAATAAATTAAAAATAGTTTACCAAAATGGCAGTGGTATGTATTAGCTGCGAAATACAAAAAGGAAATGTACTGACTTAGACAAACGAGTTTTCGAAATTGCTGTGTATAGCACGTAATTGCAAGTATGTAATCTGTACAGTATTTTGAATACTAATTTACTGAAATTACTAAAGGCTTTAAGTATATTCGAAAGCATTAGCCTGTCCAATTTTCTTTTTCATGTATTTTAAATTTGTATACCCAATACGTTTTTGAATATAATAAAAACTAACTACATATTCCAGATGGATATTATCTAAACACATCCATACTCGTACCAAATACTATTACTTTTATCGTCGGTACGTTTTCGTAGCGATTTATCATCCTGTGTTGCATTTGTTGTTGTCACTGGTGTCGAATTATTGCTTGTTATTGTTGGATCACGTGATGTGCTCGCTGGCATGTTGCCCTCCGAACTAGCATTACCAATCGTTGTATTAATACGGTTGTACATAAGGAATGTAGTCGGATTATCATTATTTGGAACCGATGACAAATTTGAAGGTGTCTGAGGTTCGGCAATGCCTACTCCAGTACCACCAATACCCATATCTGCCGACATATATGCGTCACTTACGGTACCGGCACCTGTTAAAGTTGTAGATGTTGAACAGGAGCTTGAGTTTAGGACGCAATGAGAATTCGACATTTCAGCATTGCCACCAACTTCACTGCAACTACTGTTTGTTTCGGGTATTTTTTGGTGCTCATCGATCAAATAAACTGTGCGCCGAGAACCGGCTGTGCCCAGTGTCAAACTGCTACCCGTCACATCTGGCGCTTCAAGACTGTTGAAAAGATAGTATACATATAATATATATTTTTGTTTTTGTTAATTACGCAATCATTGCAAATTTGTCAAAAAAAGTTTTAAAGGCCTGTTATGTATACATATTTTAGAAATATATTATGTATTAATTGGCACATAGTTTATATAAATACATTAATGCAATATTAACAAAAGTGCATGTTAATTTTATTTGATTAAAAAATTGATCAATCATTTTAGAGAGTAAAAGGGTCGCACATATGAGATTCACATGTTTGCCAAATAAAAATATTGTCTGGCACAAGTTCTATTATTTTGCCATCAACTAACGCCACACACCATGAAACATGTCAAATATCTTGCACACTAATTATCTGAACAAATTGTTCTAAATGGTGGGTGTGGGCGAACGTCGCCGGTATTGAAAGACAGCAACAGCTGCTCAAATGTAAAATTGTTAGCGTTGCAAGACCAAGGTTGCAAACAAATTGAAAAAAAAAATCAATATATATATATATATATGTAAATACAAATTAAAATGGAAGCACGAAAACAAAACAAATACTATTGCTTGGCGGACTATGGTCAGAAATGATACGTCAGTGATATAAAAATATCGAAAGCGTCTTTGCCTTAGATATGCTTAATTTTTTTTTACTGGTGTATTAAATTTTATTTTGTTGCTGTAAGGCAGCCGGTCAAGCGAAGATAAGTTCACATATTTTCTTTTTAATTGCCCACAAAAGCGTAAGCAAGTCATTAATGCACAAAAAAAAGTGTAATAGCGATATGTGTTAGGCAAGTTATTCGTTTGATGATCGAATATTTACCGAAAAATCGCTTCAATTTTTTCATTTTCGTTCTAAGCCCACAACCCATCCAAGTAAATCAAGTTCATGCCAAGTTTCCATTAACATATAAACACAAATTTAAAAATAAAGAAATTTGTTGGAAATATACAAATAAAAAATTATATGCAAAACCATATATGTCCACAAAAGTACATAATCGGTTCCACGAACTTGATAAGTTTTGTTTACTTACCCGTGGACGCTATTTCTTCGAGAACTATTCAAATCCGTTCGCTTTTGTGATTGCAGACTACTTCGTATTCCGCCGCGTGAAAGTGTGCTATCCATTAGGTCTCTATATTTTTAATAATAAATCAGTTGCGTGTTGTACATATGTATGAAATTCACTTACCGTTGCAAACTTTGCCGTATAGGTAAGTTTCGTTGCAGCAAATGAGAATCAGATTCAATGGACATTGGTTCTTCTATGCTATTATCGGAATCATTACCGCCTGATTCAGAGCCAATCACGAATTGCGACTGCGTAAGCCGTGAGTCATCCACCCATGAACGGCGATTCTAAATTAAATTACGTAAAATTTTTTTTGTAAGGAAAAATGGTACTACACTCACCCGGCTTGTTGGCACCTTATTAATAAAATCAGATCCGGCTTTCTTTACACGTCGCACAATACTACTCGCGAAAGGTTTTCTGTAAAAAACATTATTTTAGTTATATTATGGTAAAATTACTGGTTAATATAAATTTACATACTTTTTTGGCAAAACAGTTTCTGGCTTTTTGTAATGTTCCATTATTTTCTCCTCTAATTTTTCTTTTTGACGGCTCAAATTATGCAGACGCTCTGTATAACTTTTCTCTTCTTCTCGGAAATGTTGTTTATCCTCCAGCGAATGCGAAAGTAGCTCGTGATATTGCGTTAGCAATTGTGAAACATTGTCCATTAAAGTTTTTCGATCTATGTCCAGATGTGCATTCGTTTGAAGCAATACCTATATAAACGAAAATTTTATTAAACAATCAACAACTTGGATAAGCTAATTCACTCACTTCACACTGTTGGGCATAGTAGGCGGCATCACTTTCCATGGTTTTTATGTGGTCGTTTTTGGTATCTAGCTCACGTAACAGCTCGACAATTTGTTTCTTTAACTTATTATTTTCTGGGCGTATCATTTTATATTGCTCCTATAAATTTTGAATAGTCATCTTTGTTATAGGCATTTTATACGAAGTAAAAGTAATGGAAAATCTTATAGCATACTATTAGCTAGGCAACGTACCTGAATATTCTTATACTCGTTCTTGAAACGGAACAAATTTCGAAAATCATCTGTTAGCTTGGAATGTTCTGTTCGCAATATTGTTAAATCGTTTTCATAGCTCTTCATTTTAGCATTCTCCTTCGTTAAATCCGTTATACGATTTTCTAAATTCGAGATATGTTCACGTAATTCGCGTGCCTCGTTTCGCAAATCGCGCTGAAGCAGCTTAAGTTGCTCTTTGTCAGCGGCAAGTGATTCATACTCTGTTGAAAGCTGATCGTGCAAAGTTCGCAGTGCCATTAAATCATGTTGAATGTTTTTGTTTTCTTGTTTAATGGACTCGCTTTGCTTCAACAGCTGATCCTTATCAGAGGCAAGCTGCGAGTTAGCTACTTGTAATGCGACTAACTGTGTATTTAGCGTGGATATTTGAGAACTCAACGTCACCACGTCTACATCGAGTCGCGCCTTTTCTGCTTCCAATTGAACATTTGCTGATTGAAGGGCTGTATAGAGTGCGTTTAGCTCAGTGTTGGCTTCCTTAAGCCGCAAAATTTCGATGCGATCGCGCCCGGTTGGTGCAGTTAAGGTAACTTTGTGTTCGAAGCTTAGTCCCTGTGGCTCGTTATTGGATAGTTCAATATTTTTTTCTACCGTGTAGATTTCCTTGCGGTGACACAGCACGCATATATCAGATTTTGTGTTTTCGTTTTGGTGCAGCTCTTTCGAAACATTCAACATAATTTCACGAACTGTCTTAAAAGTTTCGGGATTGCGTACTAACTTTTCGACGACAGTTTCTACACTTAATTTGCCATTATCGTCAGTATGACCACTATCTGTTAAACCTAATTTCTCTAAATTTTGGCGCACTTTATTTGTCGCTAATGTACCAGATACTAAATCATTGCGAAGTGTTAGTATTGTATCGGAATCAATTTCACGCTGAGTCATTAATTCTTGATTTTGTTTTTCCAGTTCTATGACTCTTTGTTGAGTTTGCTCAACTTTAGTTAGTTCTTTTGTAAGACGATCAATATCTTTGGTTTGCGCTTCAAGCTTTGCTGACGACTCGTCTAATTGAACTGACTTTCCTTCGGTGTTCTCCTTCAATTTCGCGACTTCCTTCAAAAGACTGTTATTTTCTCTTTCAAATGCACAAAGCTTCGCCTCCAAGTCATACACTTTTTCTTTCAACCTACTCACTCCTTGTGAACGTTCCGTTAGCTGGTGAATTTCCTTTGTACGAGTGTCCAGCAAACGATCCAAATCATCAGCGCGACGTTGTATACTTTCGTTAAGTGTTTGTAAGCGCTGTTTCTCTTTATTTAAAGTTTCTACATGCTGTTCCACATCCAACAACTTACTACGTTCCAATTCGCGTTCTTGGCTTTGTCGTTCATATGACTTTTGTCGGTCGTCCATTGTATCTTGCAGTTTTTTATTCTCTTCCAATGCACTTTTAAATACTTCTTCCAAAGCAGTATTCTGTTGTGTTAAACGTTGGATGTTTTCTTGCATCTGCTCAATTTTTAAAGAAAGCTTTTTTTTATCCTTTTCAAACTCCAGAATCTTGTTCGTAGACTCATGGAATGAGTTTTCCTTTAGTTGCTCCAAAGCAGCAGCCAATTGCTTATTCTTCAATTCCAATTTTAAAATTCGTGTCTAAACAAAAATTAAAGTTGTATACCCAAAATTTGAAAATTATCAAAAATCAGTAATAGACCTACCTGGGCATCATTGGTTAGTTGCTCTGATAAACTATTATCACCCGAATTGCATTCGTCCTCATTATCGGAATATGCGCTATCAAGTCTTTGAGTAGTGTTTAGAGTTTTTGCAGCTAATTGTAATTGGGTATTTTCCTCCAACAATTCTTCTAACTTGGAACGATCAACGTCTCTCTCCAAAGCCATGTCGTTCAGTTTCTGTTTATATTTTATAATTTCAGATTCTAAAGTCATTACGTGCTCTGAACGTTTCCGCGCTCTTTGCAGCTGATCTTCCAGCATTTCCCTAAAGAAAATGAATGCATAGTAATATATTTTATTTTATTAAATTTTACGTATTTACTTAGTTTCTAAAAGCATTCGGTTATCTTCGCGTAGTTCTTCAACACGTGTCTTATAGAATTCTGCGTCTGTCAATTTTTCGCGAAATTTTTGTACCTCAATTTCCAAGCGATCAGCGCGTTCAGCTCGCTCTCTTAAGACATCAACTTCATCACGGTATGCATATGCTCGTTTTGCCTCTGCGTACCATTCTTGACTCTAAAAATATATAAATGAAACATAACTAATATTATAATAATTTATACAATGCTTCTTCAGCTCCTTACTAACCTCAGCTCGCAATTTTTCATATTGAGCACTTTTATGATCAAGCTCCTCTCGCAATTCAATTTGATGTTCAGATTTCTCCTCTCTATCAAAAATTTAAATATTTATTTCTAAAGAAAATTGCGATAATGTGCCACTTACAATTCCTGCCGCAATTTGCGAATTTTAGATTTCAAATCAGCAAGTTCTACTGCCATGTGGTTATTTTCAGAGTTGGAAGATGATGAACAGGGCGTGGTCAGCGTGCATGACAATGGTGATAAGGGCATATTTAATGTGCCATCTGTACAGGCTGTCATATTTAAATCAGTATCCGCGCACATTGATGCAATCCAACGCAGATACATGTTGTCACGTTCTTTTGTCAGCCGCAATATATGGTTGTACATATTAACAGGGGTTAGCAAATTTACAGATTCCTTTGTAAGAACGAGACTTTGATCTTCTGTAACCTATACACACAAGGGCAAAGTAGTATTTTTTGTGGTAATTATGTTCATCGATTAGTATTCTCTTACTTGTTTTATCAATCCAACAATAGCATGTTGTGTTTCAACGTCCAACATTTTAATGCGTCCAATGAAGGCTTCGCGATTAGGACACTGCACTGCAGCGCCTAACAACAGCGTTAGTAAAATCTTCATCTGCTCCAAACCTTGTTTAGATTCAGGATGGTATCCTAGAATATAGACGTCGGGAAGAACTAGAATTGTATGTTCTAATTCTTCTTCAAAAAGTGATTTCAAGTTGCGTGCGATGCATTCGAAGTTTTTCGATCGCGCTATACATAGCGATATCCCGATTAGATCACGTACATCTGTTGGGTGGTTTTGAGGTTCTGGGTCTATTTGCAACCACACACTATGTATAATATTGCCATCCAACAAGGAGGAATAACCAGTTAATACTTCTGGACGGGGCAAACATGATTCCAACTAAGTAGTGATTGAAAATATATTTCAAAATTATAAAGAAACATAGAATTCTTTTTTTTTTTTTTTGGAAAATCTCATAATATAAAAATCTAAAGTGCAATAGTTGGCTATATAAATGAAATTAATCATTTAAATTTTTTTGGTTTTGGTTGGTAAATTTTAAGCAACTTTATTTATACAATGGTAGTTGATAAATAGTTGTAGTCACAAAAGTCTTAGAAGCATATGTATATATGAGCAAATATGCTTTATTTGGAAAATCGAAATACCATTGAATTGGTTTTACAAATACAATGAAAGCACCTAATCTAATTGGTAAATACTTGTGTAAAAACAGTCATATTAAAATATATTTAAAAACTATTACAAAATTACTATATATTATTTGTGTTAACTGACCCATGTTACTAAAGCTCCATTTATAAATTCGTCAATTTCCAAAGGAGTTGCTGTTGCGGCATTAGCCATTTTCAACTTTCACAGAGTCCACGGTGGCATTCAATTGCTTTTATTGCAACTAAATAAAATTGCTAGCAGAAACGTTTTATATTCACTAATTCACTTTTTTCCTGCACACAATGAAAACTGTCACTTCACTTTCACGAATCATAGAACATTATACACATTAAGTAGAAAGATTTTCATATTTAAATAAGACAGGTAATATATATTTCACTTAATAATATATCTCTTCTAATCCTCCTTAGCTAAGATTTTATTCTGAAATATTTTCAAATGCACAGCAGTAATGAACACTTTGCTACACATGTAATTCATAGATAAATACTACTTAATACAAAGCCAGCTACAGTATTTCCATCAGAGTTGCCAAAACCAATGTATAAAACAAGGTTGCCAGAGCTAAGTATTTACAAAAAATATGCAATGAATTTCGAAATATGTAAATGATCTAAGATTACCCACAAAACGAAATACTCAAAATATAATTTTTTATTCATTTTGATCATTATTATTTCGCTAAAATAATTAAAGAAGGCGTACGACTGCTGGGTAACTTATTTATATTGGAATCTTTAAAGCAAAAATAGTTTTCAAGCATATACGTGAGATCTGTCATTTAATTCTATAAAACCCGAGCATGTCTAGAACGCTTAAAATGTGCTTTGTTTGTTTACTTTTTTCATATACAAACAATGTTGGGCATATAGAATCCAACTAGAAAGAAATCTTCTGGTAAGAGTGTTCGGATCCATTTTTGAATCATTGAACGTTGGTTGTATAATCAAAAAACTTAGAGAGCTTCTAAGTTCTCTGGTTAAAGATCTATTAATTTTGTGTGTTTCATTCAAATGTTGCATCAAACTAGTCGTACTGTTTCAACCGCTTCCCACATTGATTACACTAGACATTAGATTAATTATTTACTTTTTTAAAATAAATCCACACGGCGCTAGGCGTCATTTTAATAAATATTTTTAATAACAATTAATATGACACGGTTTGTTATGGTATAATAATGGTAGGTAGAACTAGAAACCAGTTACCTAACCGTAAAACCAAATGACAAGAATCGATTCTTGAATGATTTCGGAAGGAACAGGTCAACTGCGAAAAATCGATTATCGAGTAGAATCGGAATAGAGTTTGTTATCCCAATTTGACAATCAATTGAAGATAATTTCATTGTATAAGTATATATTTGTTTAATACATATATATATACATATAATAATATTTTGATATAATATACAATATTTTGAAAAAAAGCTGTGTAAATTCAATTTTTATATTCACTATTGCGGATTCGAGGCTTTTGGACATTTTAGTAGCAGAATATGAGTAGGCAACCCCTACCAAGTGCCTAATTAGAGGTAGAATTATGGTGGGCATACCCTACCAAATATCTAATAAGTAGGAAAATATTTGGAGACAGTCTGTGCCAAATGTCAATTTTTTGCGTATGGGTTAGTGAAAAAGTTAAGATTGTTTACTTGTACATTTTTACAGAAGACAAACACCGGCAAAGAAGTGCTCTCATACGTATAGAAAATAAACAAAATGCGTCTGGTAAATGAATGCATATATATATAATATATCCAATTTTAAGTAATAATTTTTTTTCGCTATGTAGTACTGCCTAAGTAATGATTTGGCGAAGCACTGTTATGTTATAACCTTCAAGGGTCTACGAATCATGCTGGATTGTGGTCTAACGGAGCAATCAGTCCTTAATTTTTTGCCACTTCCTTTCGTACAAAGTGTAAAATTGTCAAATTTGCCTAATTGGATACCAAATCGAGATCATGATCCTCAAATGGACGGCGAATTGAAAGAGTGTTGCGGTCGAGTTTTTGTCGACTCTGCACCCGAGTTTACATTGCCGATGGATAAAATGATGGATTTTAGTGAGATTGATGTGATATTAATATCAAACTATCTAAATATGCTAGCTCTTCCTTTCATAACGGAGCACACTGGATTTAAAGGAAAAGTCTATGCAACAGAGCCAACGTTACAAATTGGTCGTTTCTTTCTTGAAGAACTTGTGGAGTATATTGAAGTTGCGCCTAAAGCTAGTACAGCTCATTTGTGGAAAGACGTGTTACATCTATTACCCAGTCCTTTAAGTGAGTCATTTAGACCAAAGAAATGGAAAACAATATTTAATTTAAAAGATGTGCACAATAGTTTGGCGCGCGTAACAATTATGGGTTACGATGAAAAATTGGTAAAATATGTTTACTGAGTATAGAACTAAGTTCTCTTCTTACTACGAATATATTTGAAGGATATTTTGGGTGCTTTTGTGGCAACTCCCGTCAGTTCGGGATATTGTTTAGGATCGAGTAATTGGGTTTTAAGCACAGCCCACGAAAAAATCTGTTATGTTAGTGGATCATCAACCTTAACTACACATCCTCGTCCAATCAACCAGAGTGCACTCAAACACGCAGACGTTTTGATAATGACGGGTTTAACCCAGGCCCCAACGGTTAATCCCGATACAAAATTAGGAGAACTATGCATGAACGTGGGTAAGTAAAACAAATAACATTATTATGTAAAACACACATGTCTTTATTACAAAATTTGTTTGGTAGACTAGCAATTAGATTTAGTATTCATATATAACAAGAATGAAAGTTTTATCTGATGACCAATTTATTTTTATTTTGTATTCTAAAACATTTCATTTTTAAGCGCTTACTATTCGAAACAATGGTTCAGCATTAATACCTTGCTATCCTTCTGGAGTAGTATACGACCTTTTCGAATGTCTTACACAGAATTTGGAAAATGCGGGATTAAATAATGTGCCAATGTTCTTTATTTCACCGGTTGCCGATAGCTCATTAGCGTACTCAAATATTTTGGCTGAATGGCTGAGTTCAGCAAAGCAAAACAAAGTCTACCTGCCCGATGATCCCTTTCCGCATGCCTTTTATTTACGCAATTCAAAATTGAAGCACTACAAACATGTGTTTTCTGAAGGATTTAGTAAAGATTTTCGACAGGTATTTTAAAAGTTATTTAAACATAAAGCAAAAAAATGACGGCAAATAAAATAACGTATTCTTCTTTTAGCCTTGTGTAGTATTTTGTGGACATCCCAGTCTGCGATTCGGCGATGCTGTTCATTTCGTGGAGATGTGGGGTCATAATGTCAATAATTCTATTATATTTACAGGTAAATTATTAATAATATCCCATTGATTGAAAAATGATATTAAGTAAAATATTATCCAGAACCAGACTTTCCATATCTCCAAGTATTGGCGCCGTTCCAACCCCTCGCAATGAAAGCTTTCTATTGTCCAATAGACACTTCACTTAATTATCAACAGGCAAATAAATTAATAAAGGAACTGAAGCCAAATGTGTTGGTGATACCTGAGGCCTATACAAAGCCACATCCAAATGCACCGAATCTTTTTATTGAGCAACCGGTAAGTTTTATAATTTGCGGTGAACGAATCTTATAAAAATTACTGATATTTCTGGTTTTTAGGACAAAAAAATTATTACATTTAAATGCGGCGAAATAATTCGGTTGCCGTTAAAGCGAAAACTCGATCGTGTTTATATAACATATGATATGGCCCAAAAAATTGTTCCACGTGACGTGGGTAATGGTGTAACCGTTTCCACAATTACTGGCGTCCTTGAAGTAAAGGATAAAGTACATAATATACACCCATGTGCGGATTCTTTAGATGATAAGCCAAGTGGTAGTAAAATGCCTCCTCCCAGCCGAGAAGATGTGCTTAAAAATATGAAATACGAATATGGTACCTTAGACGTAGATCTGCTCAAGAAACGGTTAATTCAAGATGGAATTACAAACATAAAAGTAGAGCGTACCAGCAATGTAGTTATGCTGCATTTGATAAATGAAGATACAACGATAAAATTTGATGAGAATGAAACTCATATACTATGTGGTGGAAAACAGTCGTTACGACTCAAACTGCGTGACTCTATACTGAAGTGCTTACAAAGCTTTTAAATAACACACTTTCACCAAAAAAAAGTTACCAATTATCTGTTAGCCAGAACTAAAGTGCAACGTTCACAAACACAACCGACATTATCAACTGCGAAACGTCTACAACGTGCACATAGGGTTAATTCCAATTTTTGAACATTAATATCGCTAGAATCTACATCATTGGATGGCTGCAAAGATACCCTTTGAACTTGTAGTAATTCACATAGCTCTGAAATATTGGAAGATACTTCTGCTTTATCCTCTTGCAAAAGACGTAGCATTTGCATTTCCTCATTGTTTTTGTTGTATGAAATTTCTACTGCTAGATTAAATGAATTCGTGCTGCCCGCTTTTTGATTAACGATTCGTTTGATTTCTAATGCAACACCAACAATTTTTTCAGCTTCAGCGTCTTTCCAAGCGGGGTCGGCAGTAAAGTTTTGTTGATGAAATGCCCTTTTAGGATCTAAAAAACAAGACCATATTTAAGTTTAAATGTGTTTAAACCGGCAGTAAATTAAGTTTTACCATAGTATTGCCAACTTTCTTCCACTAAGAATGGTATAATAGGCCACATAGTAGAGCAGAGTACTTTATAACAATTTAGCAACGTATAGTGTATATTTTTTATATCGATTTTATCTCCACAATACAATCGATCTTTAATAGTGTGAAGATATATTGCTGAAATTTGGTTTGCAACAAAATTTTGTGTGTTGGTCACGACACGATGGTACTCGTAAGTATCATACAATTTCCAAATCTGAATAAAATTAAATTTTTTATTATATATATATATGTTATTTATCAAACTAATGGCATACCTCATTTTCGTGTTCTACCAACGCACTTAATATATATCTGTCTAGAAAAGTACTTTTATCATTCAGAACTTCCGATTTATTGACAATAACACCATTTAAATAGCGTAAAGTAGCGCGAATTTTGTTGACACTGTCGGCAGCTTGTTGCATTAACTTCTCACTGACAGTTATAGACATGTTTTGCGCACAATGCGTTGCCACCCACCACCTGAAAAGTGTAAAGTTTAAAAGTTTTTAATATTTTTATATGTATCAATATTACCTTAAAGCATCCACTCCGACTTTGTTAATTATATCCTTTGGAGAAATTACATTACCTATGGATTTTGACATTTTGTGACCCTTATCATCGACTGTGAAGCCATGTACAAATATAGACCTATTAAATTTTTTCATATAGTTTCAATAAAGAAAACTTTAAATTATAGCTCACTTGTAAGGTGCTTGGTTTCTCGCTGCAACACTTGTAAGTAATGATGACTGAAACCAGCCACTGAACTGATCGTAACCTTCAAGGTAAACGTCAGCCACTTGCTCATCCTTTAGCACACTTGACCATGTGCTGCCCGAATCGAACCAAATATCAAAAATGTCTCCACTTTTTTGTAATTCGGCAGCTGATATATTAAATGACTCCAGAATATTCGATGGTAACATTTCCTCCACACTTTGCGACCACCAAAAATCAGCGTTTCCTTCTTTTTTAATAAGATCACAGATATGGTTGATTATAGATCTACGAATATTATAAAAAAAAGAATTATAAATTGGATTTATATTTTTAATGAAATCAAATACTTAACCTATTCAGAATAACATTATTTGTCCTTCGTTCATAAAACACGGGTATGGGCACGCCCCAGACACGTTGTCTTGATATGCACCAATATGGACGTTTACGCACTTGCGTCATTAGCGCCTTTCTACTCGCATCTGCTTGAACAAGTGGATAAACATTTATTTTACTAATCTGAGTCAAAGAAAAAATATAAAAACAAATATCAAAAATTAAATTATGTAAAATTTATATTTTAATTGTACCTCTTCAAGGGCTCGTTCCTTAAGTTGTTCGGTATTCATAAACCATTGTTCACTGGCACGTATTATTACGGGTTCTTTGGTGCGCCAGTCAATGGGGCATGAATGTGTTATCTTACCGGCATGTAACACGTCTGATGCAATATTTTCCAACACTAATTGATCACCTTCGCGCAGCACATCTTTCCCTTTCAGAAAACTAGGAGCCTTTGAAGAGTAGACGCCATCTTCATTGACTAAACATATCTGAAAATATTTTGATTTTTTATTATTCCTTCTCAGATATATTATATACAAAACTAACCACAGGCAACTTATTTTCAAGACCAACCAAAAAATCTTCCGGTCCATGTGCAGGTGCGGTATGAACAAACCCTGTGCCTTTTGAGTCCTGCACATGTGTAGCAGCGAAGAATGGTAAGTTCTTCTGAGCTGTGAATAAGGGATGTTGATATGCGCAATTCGATAATTCTGTGCCTTTAAACGTTTTTACAAGCTCATATGTAATGCCAGTAGCTTCCGAAAAGTTTTGCAATAAACTTGTGGCAATTAAATATAAATCACTGCCATAATTCGACAATTTAAGCACGCTGTAATCTAGTATTGAGTTGTAGCATATTGCTTGATTACTTGGTAATGTCCATGGTGTTGTAGTCCAAACCAAAGCATAAAGATTGGTATTTGGGGAAAGTGATATACTACTCGGCACATTAGTTAATAGAAATCGCAAGTAAACTGAAGGACTAACGAAGTTCACATCATACTCCAGTTCTGCTTCGGCCAAGGCTGTTCTGAAAATTAAATGTGAGCACTAAGTGTGTATAATTTTATTTCAATAAAAACAAATGTACCGCGATGATGGAGACCAGTAGACAGGCTTTAAATCTCGATATACCAGTCCACGTTCATAAAAATCAATGAACAAATTCAGTTGATTTATTAAAAATCCCGGACGCATTGTCAAATAAATATTTTCCTCCTTTAACCAGTCGCTTATAATACCCCATGACCGAAATTCGTCTTTTTGTCGTTGCATTGCATTTAAGGCAAAATCGCGAGCTTTGTAAGAAAAATATTATGTAAACCGCTAACACTGTATACCTATTTAATGTAGCCTTTAATTGATACTTACATCTATTACGAATGCTGATCGGATCTTGATCCTTAATCCTCGCAATGTTATTATTTTTAATTGCAGTTGTTGCTTTTAATTCAATTGGCAGACCGTGACAATCCCATCCAGGAATATAATTCACTTTCTGACCGCGAACTACATGCTGACGCAATGTTATGTCTTTGAGAATCTTTGTCAAAATTATTAAATAATTATTATTTATCCGAAAGAGCTGTAATCATAGTTTTTCACCTTGTTCACTGCATGACCCATATGCAGATCTCCATTAGCATATGGGGGGCCATCGTGTAAAACAAAAGTTGGTTCATGATTATGTTGTTGTTGGTAACTATATGTTTCAGAAAATACATCCTGAAGTAAAAAAGTAATTCCAGCTCATAAGTCAACGTATAAATTAGTTATTTTACCTCAACCAGCTTACGCTCCAATTCTAACCGCTTAACAGCATTTAATCTATTTGGAAATTTTGTTTTTGGCAAATTGATGGTGTCTGTATACTTTATAGGAGGTTTTGCTGCCGGTTTAATAGAAAACTGTCTTACAAATGGACTATTTACAATTATTTTTAACATCTTAAAATTATTTAATATAAAAGCTTTGATGGAGTTCTTAGAGATTTGTATTTATAAATCAGCTGATTCTTATGAGAGTTATTTCCACTCAAATGTGATCAATCTATCGATAGATGACCTTTTCTGTCATTACTTTTCATGAAATTTTCGCCAATGTTTGAACGGTTCGACTACGCGACATTTACAGCGTGTTGCATATTTTATTTGAATGTTGGTATGGAGATCTCATTCTTTTCTTACAAGGAATTGACATGAAAGTGGTAAAACATGTTTAAAAATCCCGCTATTGTTATTTTCAAGGCCAAATGTATGATGAGCATTTCCTACTCTATCGGAAATTATCAAACCTGTAATTTATTTCTCCAATTTTTTTTTTACATTTCTTGTTTTAAATAAAAAGTCCGTGTGTGAATTGGGACTTACGCGTGCTCCGAAACTGATTTGTGATAATTGCATAAAATATCAAAATATCGTAAAATCAAATATAAGTAGACACACATCTCTTGAAGGAGTTAACGATAATTCTCCCGCGCATTTAAGTTAAGAAATAAAAGATCACAAATGCCTCAGGAAATTAGAGTTTTGCAATGTACTGTATGCAAAATGTTCCAAGTAAATATGAACCATTTTAATAGAAAGAATTAAGCAGAAAATGTTAACTACATTTAAATTTCAAGGTCGATTTGGTAAAAAAGGTGAAAATATGGACTTGTAAGGTATGTAATGTGAAACATAATTTTCTGACTGAGTACTTTCGTGGAAGTGGTCCGGAATGTCGTGTGCTGGTACAGGAACTGAATAAGAATAAAGAGCTTACAGCATTAAGCACCGCTACCTTTACCTTAGCAAATCATGTGGTTCTTCGGAATGAACAGCACATTCCACCCCCAGAGTCCACTAAATTTATAAAAAATGAATTTGCATGTAATGAGGCTGAATTAGATAATAAGGATTTTAATGGAAGAAATATAGATATTCATCAAAATAAGAATATCAAGTCGTCTTTGGAAAATACTAAAGAATTGGCTCAAATCGAATTACCAAATAGTAATAAACGCCTATCGATGAGAAATGACTCCAACAATAGCATAAAGAGAGCGTGCAAATGGGATAAATATGTATAAACACTATTATTTAAGAAAAAACAAAGACAAAATATGCATTAATATATGTTATAATTTATATTAAAAACAAAACTAATAATTATGTGGCATTATTTATTGATCATAATTGCAATAGTGTTTACATTTTTAATTCAAAATTATGTGTAAGCACACGGTATGTTTGTTATAAGTAATTTCCAGATTATTTTTTTACTATTTTGTGGATGAAGAGGACCAGTTCCCAATGTATCCACCAATAAACATTTATATATTTTAATATGTGAGAGACGTTCATTTGAAATTTAAAACTACAAACGCGGTATTTGTATCATTATGAAATTAAGTTGCGATATCTTTTTTAAATAATTTCTCTTCGGTACAGCTTTCTTCGCCTTCAGCCACGTCGGCTTCACCCCCTGGTCCACCTTTACCAGAGGATCGGCGTCGTTTGCGGTTTAAGCGCCATGGTCGTATTGGAAATTTCAGTGCCGGCAACTGATCCATGCCAAGGACTTTGTAAATTTGCCTGAATGCAATGTAACGCAAAAACAATTGTGCTGACACGGTTAGATCTTCGCGCTGCTGCTTAGTCAAGTCATGCAAAGCATCTTGAGCTTCCTTTTCACATGGGTCTAAGAGTCCCGGTCCGTTAATAAGAAAACCAGAAGCCAAAGCCTCCATTATACGACGAAGACAATCACCTGGAGATATTGGGAAACCAGCTGATGAGATCACTTTTTCAACCAACAATTCTAGGGACCACTGTGGTAATGCCTGCCACGATTGGATGCGTTGACAAAGGTCACGCAATATGCGTATTACCATTACACATGATTGAAGGCCAGTGGCGCGTGCTTGGAACCATTTGGCGTGGCGCAATTCAGCTAAAGCCTTAAATAGAACAAGTTTAGATTCAGATATTACAATTAATGTGTCGCAGGTCATACCCTCAGACACGGTTCGCGCGGCAGTAGTGCAACATCTCCTGTTCCTCCGTTAATGTTAGCAGCATCATTTTTGCCTTCCTGTGAAGCTTCGCGTAATAGAGGCGAAGTAAGTGAAATTTTAACGGACACCACATCATCACGCACAATGACAGCTGAGTCTTGAGCCACAACTTCAACAACATATTCAACTGGATTTTCGCCTAAAAACAAAACGGATTCAATTACAAACTGTAGAAAATAAAAATTGATCGTAGCCAAAACAAAAAAAATTATTTGCAGACAAAATTTTTTAATTGCATATCAAATGTATGAGTTTCTTAAATAATATGGGTTGAAAGTGACAAACATGTCCATCATTTAACTGTAGTTGTACACTTTGTTGCATTAACTTGTCACTTTTACCAATATTCAGATCATTAAGAAAGCATATGTTTTAACCTTTGTGTGGCTGCGACATTTTAAATACTTGCAATCTTTGTCGCGATAATATACAATATTTATTTTTATTAAAAACGGCTTAAACGTCTGTTAAATCCTTGACAGTGCATCTTCTTTAGTTATCTTTAGTGTGAATCTGTCAGGACTCATGCACTCAATATGTCCGACAGAGACGTCAACATTTTTAATTTCTAAAATTATTAAAAAAATATTTCTGTAACCAACTTAATGTTTTCAAAACAGGCCTTTTCATCAAAGTTTGCTCATCTATTTTCACATGATTACTTCTTATCGTGATCCTAAGATCTAAACTACCTATTAAGGAGAGTCGGCCACATAAAGGTTAAGCGTACATATTTATAATTCCATTGATTGAAGCATCCCCAGTAAGCAGAGGTACAAGGCATAACATAAATTAGGTAGATTTTAATCATCAGAGAATCCAAACAAAAAAGAAAAAATTATCGCGCGTATGTACACATCTTTCAATGCAGGTACATTCTGCCTTTGCACCTCTCTTTACATTATAGCACTTTTGCCATTCTCTTACATATCATTAATATATTCATAAAAACTTTGACCGAAACTCAATGCCAAGTGACGCCGTGACATATTTTATAATAGCAATTAGCTTCTTTGGACCGCAAGTTATAGTAATAACTCATTTTGTGCCCTAACGGTGGATAATTGTTAAGAAACTTATATGTATCGTCTTATACACTGGTGTACTTTATTGAATAAAAAAAAAAACAAAAAAAACACCGGCGTAACTGTCATTTATGTTTCGGTCACAATTTTCTCATATCGAACCACGTCTTCTTGATATTCGATACACACAAAACGGCTAGCCAACAGCGAAAGGTTGCTTTTCGTGACAACAACATAAAACAACTGCAACTAAAGTATGCATATCAAATTCACTTAATTTGGAAAGGTCTGACCGTTTTGTTTGTGTAGCTATTTGAAGAGCTTTGTTTCATATGTGATTTCACCTTAGAATTTATATCGAAAGGATTTTATTTACACAAAGTTAGATTTGCTTGTAAGAATTGAGCTTTGCAATTCACTGTATAATGGGTGGCGAAAATCGCGAATCATACGGATGAAACGACGAACTTAAGTAGTTAGTAACAATAGCAATATGTTGGTCCTAAAACTTTGTATAAATATATTCCTTTATTTGGGCCACTCGCACATAGGCGCAGAGTACATTTTACCGTTCAATTTCCAGTCCAGCAACAAACAGCGCAATAAAAGAAAGATACTATGAAGGAGGAGTACCCGTACGCGTACCCGCACCACAATAAAAGTGAAGTAGAGTGAAGTTGAATGTCCTGTTCACAAACCTCAAATAACCAATCTCAATGGGACAATGGCATGTATATCCGGTGAAGAGCTGAAAACACCAACAAATAGGTTTTAGTTCGTTCATATCCCTTTGCTGTAAACAATACGTATGCGGATATGCATAACTCCACCAAAACACCATTTTTCATTTGCTTTCACTTTTTCCATACAAATTGCCTTTGCTTTGTTTGTAAATAATAATAACATCCGTATCTATTTTTCAATTTATTAATTGTTAATCGTGCAAAAGCCCATTCATATTATGTATAATATATTGAAATTGTATAAACTTTGGTATAGTTCACTAAGGCATAATTAACCAATTTGTATCAAATCATCGATTATCGTTTGTTCCGAACACAGCGTAGAAAACATACGTTTTCAATTTAAGCTATTTCTTTGGAAAAAGTTACCACCCAGTTTTTCTGATTTCACACCAAAACTATTAGAATTCATACTAGTTTAGGGTAATCAATCAGAAATACTATATACTTGTTACAAATATGTAATTTTTTCTCGGAGACGAATCAAGCAATTTCAATGACCTCTTCATGGCTTTGGTATAAACTTAATTATAAAAATTATATTTTAAAAAAATACGTACATACATACATATGTGTAAAATCGGTATTTATGAAACCAATGTATGTAGGTCATTCAAACTTGAAAAATTCATATCCATAAAAATATACAAATAAATATATAAACTGTTATATGGTATATGTACTTACCTGCCACTTCCTTTAATTTGGATGGCAATTCAACGGCCACACGTTTTAGTAATCCAACTGTTGGTTTTTCAGAACATAAAACCACTAATTCAACTGCATTATCACCCTGTAATAAAAGACCTTTGGCCAAAAATCCGACCCTCATTACGCCCTTAAGAATGCGTACATTTCCGCTATCAGCCTCTTTTTGGAATGATAACATTTGATTATCGCGCCCGTCCTTTACTTGAGCATTCTCTAGTTTTTCTTTTTTATTAGCTGGTCCCTTTTCATCTGAATTCTCAGCAAGTTTATCCGAGACAAATTTAAGAGCACGTTCAGTATGTGATACGATGCGTTGAATTGTTTGCAACTCTTCCTCTTTGGGATAAATCTCTGCATGACGAGCAATTGCATGACGATCATCGGTACTCTCAGGACGACGTATACTTCCACCCCCACCAGGCATCATTCCAAAGAATGGTGGTGGACCATTACCCATGCGACCACCAAATCCACGTTGAGCACCTTTAATTTAAATTAGAACTTATTTTTTTAAAATAATTTTCAAAAACAAAAACAAAAAATTATAATAATAGTAACTATTTACCAGCAAAACTACGTGCCAACCAGTTGCTGTAATCGTATTCGTCATCGTACTGTGCACGTCGACGTTGTTCATCCCAATACATTCCGCCACTATTCTCATGTTCATCACCGAAACCAACATTACCACCTCGGTGCGATTGCATAAGAGCACGTTGGGCACGTGCTTCTGCTAGTCGTCTTTGACGTGGAGTGGGTTTAAAGTCGACCACCAAATCCGGTTGGACTTTCCGTTTATATTGTAAACGATGTCTTCGGCCTTTCATGTGCATCTCTTTTGCATTTGGATCGTTAAATTTACAATCACATAATTTACAATTGAAGCTTAGGATCTTCCCTTCATCATCTTTAATTTCTTCAATATACTCGCCACCAACTGGTTTAATATTATCGGTGTTTTCTCCGCATGCAGCATTATCATCTTGATTATCTGAATTATATTAATGGATTTAAATGTTTTCGTCTAGTAAATACTTGTATGTTATAAATAGTGTAATACCGTTTTCGTTGACACCAGTATTTTCGCCTTCAACGTTCTCTGTAGTTTCAGCAGAACCACTGGCTGGGACAAAATTAATTTTTGATAACTTCTTTGGCTCATCTGGGGGTATTGGTTTGCCAAGTTTCTGATGAAGTTTAACCACTTTTTGATGTTTTGCGCCACGTACGTGCGCAGCATAGGCATCGGTACCAGTGCACGTAACATCACAAAGCTCACAGTGGTAATTATTACCACGATTTTGAGCTGCAGACTGTGCAGTGGCCTGCATTTTCAATGATGCCTCCCGCTTTTTGTGCTTTTGACCTTCCAAGTGCTCACGATAGGTTTGAGGTCCTGCACATGAGATCTTGCATACCTCACAATAATGCAGTTGTTGCGGGCGTGGCGGTGGCTTGGTGCGTGGACGTGCTACATTTGCACCACCAGCTGCAGCGCCCTTTGGTGCTCTATACTGCCAACTATTGGCTGAGGCACCATTAGCATTCGGTTTAACAGGGCCGGTTTGGTGTTGCTGTTGAGCAACATACATTGATGCTGCACTATAAAGAGCCGACTCGTAATTACTGTATGCATTAACAGCTGTAGCAGTGGTAGCTGCTGGAGTGGCTACAGCTTTAGCAGCTCCATTGGTTTTATCCTTAACACCAGCGGCTTTGGAACCAGCGTTTATATTTTTAACGGGTGGAGCCGAATAATGCGTTTTACTAACTGTAGCTGCTGGTGCCGTGTTGTAGCTAGCTGACGCTTGTTGATAAAATGTTTTCGATGCGTCATATGCAGGAAGTGCGCGACCGTAGTCGCCGTAACCTGCATAGCCGCCAGCTCCCGAAGCGCCAGCAGCTGCATAACCACCCTGACCAGCAGCAGCAGCAGATTGATACGCGGCAGCGTTAGCATAAGTGGCGTTTGTTACAGCTGGATAAGATACCTGCCCTGGATTGTATCCCGCACCACCGGCACCATATTGAGTTCCACCATAGCTAAATCCGGCATAATTATTATTAGCCATTATTTTTAACTTTAAGGAATCAAGAAAACCTACAGTGGTATAAATTTAAAAAAAAATCAATAAATGTGACACCCGCAATTAGATTCAAAATTCTGAAACTTGCCTGAAAAGTTATTCTTTAAAAACTTGACACCGAATACTATTCACCACTTTCAATATATTCTTTCTTAGAATTATTTAATTATTGCAAAGCTAGAAGCTAAACGTTTCGTGGAGATATACCCAAAGGAGTTGAATTGCGTTTCTGAAAGATGGAAAAAGAGATCGACGCGTCATTTGCCGAAGAACATCTAGGGGTTGATCGGCATATTTTTACATTTCAAAAACCAAACCACATTCAATTAAAAGAAACAAATAATAAAATGATATCAAAATATTAAATAAATAAAATCTCTTTGAAATACTTATAATCTTGTATTAATTACCAGCAAATTACACCTAAATATTTCAGAAGAAACTCCGCACCAGAACTGAAAAATTGTCGGAAGTGCACGAACAAATTATCGATTATTTCATAATCGACATTTGCATTTACTTAACAACCAGAGTTTGCTAGTTTACAATAATTAACATTTTTATTAAATCGATTTCTGGATGTGCCTAGATCAATCTATAGGATTGATATATTGCATATTATTGATATACATAAAAGGAAATTTACAAAATATTTCTAAAGTTTGTGAATAATAACTAAAAAATGTGGCTAAATGACAAGTTTAACCTCACTTCCAGATAGTAAATGAATCCATTTTGCAATTTTAATTAAATAATATACAAATAGGTAATTATTTCTAATCTATTCCTAATTTTCTATACACGTTCATAGGTATATATTGTTCTGATACAAGATTGTATACACTCTTAAGGGACATTAATATTAAACTAAGCAACACTGGTTTTACCTCCGAATAGGAATAATAGAATATGAAAAATATTCTTATTGGTTTCTCGTGGTTTTGAAAGGCTTAGAAATATATTGAGAATTAAAGGAACTGAAGTGACAACATAATTTTTAAAGTTAATGGCGAGCATATTGCAGTGCTGTAATATAAAAAAATATACATTTGAACAGCTAATTGTCTTTACAGTTTTATAAAATTACGCGCTACCCAACCACTTCGGTCGAATGCTGTGCAGCTGAAGGTGAAGACGATTTGCAATTCTACTGCCATTGCTGTTATAGGAAGGGCATTGTTTAATAATTATTATAGTATTTTTGCTGGCAGAGTGCCTAGCGATTTCTGTAAAGCTGGACAAGCTGGAAAGAAAGGTGAAATTAACGAATATCACAAACTTAAGCATTGACGATGAGGAATTTATATACAATGTCACCGCTGACATTGAGCACTTTATAAACCAAAGGCATAGCTCTAGGTGAGTAGAACGTTTGGCAATGAGTATATCATATATTATGTATGGCTTGGAGGAAACAACCAAGGTGTGGGAAATAAGTGTTAATTTTATTGAATTATATTTTTTCGGAGTTTGTTTATTATGAAATTCCGTTGATTTCAATTATTGACGTATTATCTGTGACAGTTTATATATGTGCCTGTGTATACACAAGAAATTTTTTTGTTTATTCAAAACAAGCGGATAAGTTAAATTATTCCTCACACAATATCAAAAAGAAACTCTTCAGAGCGTGGATGCCTAAGTTTTTCTGTGATATATTATTCGATCAGTAATTAACTCAATATACATACGTAAATTAATTACACCCGCATATATACCAGAATACTTTCCAAAGAGTGGTATGTAAATATACATATCTTGTGTATTAAAAATGTAAAAAAAATCACGTTTCGCTCTAATCGAAATAGTGCCTAGGTTTTTATGCATCTTGCGTTACTATTTTTTTGTTTTGTTTTTGTCCTACTTGTGGTTGAATGAGCAGTTGAACACTTTTTCTTTGGATGTGATATTTTCCTAATGGAATTCGTTACACGTTATACTTAAACTAGTTCTAGTGACATAGTTATATATTTATGAGAGGGTGAGAGAAGACTTTGTAATACGGAAGACTGGATGTGAATCTGGTATCATGTTAAAAGTGGCCTCATATATATCTATGCATGTACTTGGAATCATTTGATATTCAAGAAAAGGTTTAATTCATAAACAAATGAAAATTTGTGTAAAATAAGTGTTTTCTTTGCAACGCTTTTGCTTTACAATGCTTTTGTTTTCCGCTTTTGAATACAATAACTATTTATATATTTATGAGGTAAATTATTATGTGTCCTATAAGTAAAAAATTTCTTCTGCGATAACAAATTTAGTGGTCAAGGGTCAACCAAATAAATATGTTAATTTCCTAAATAGTTGAGTCATACATAATAATATATTATCTAATAAGTAGGGATTTAGAAAAAATTTTATTTGCAGCTTCTTGAAGGTTAATACGATGGTAAATTGTTAAAGCATTTTATTCATCGCTCGAAATGATTCTTTTTTGCTTCATTAATGAAACAGTAGATGAGAACATGATGGAAGGCGAATCAATTATTTTTAGAACGAGGAGAGATTTTAAATTTTATTATATGAAGTTTAGGATCCTAAATATGGAACATCTTATTTTAATTATCCTTCGAAATCTAATTTGTAAATCCTATATCCAATTAAATACCATTCTATTCACCACTTTCACCCCGCTTAACACTATAGTATCAACATAAACTGCAATGTTTACTTGATTACATAATATTCTCATATATCTTTCTCTTCTGATGTTACTCTTTCATTGTTTAGGTAATTTACTTACTTCGCCATTCTGATATTAACCAGTTTTTGCAATTTTTCTGTAAATTTGCTAAAACTATAAAATCACATAAATTTCAGGATCTAAAATGTCTAATTTGTTACGTAAATACTTACTCTACTGAAACTTCTTTTATCGTTACAAAAGATTTGAATATAGTTCAAGCAAACGCCATAGCAAATAAACTTCGTGTCTATGATCTGTAAATGAGTATGTATATATTTATATCGTATTTAGGTAAGAATATTTGTCCATATTTTACAGTGTTCTACTTTTCCCACCTGTGAACAATTTTCGACGTTTCCTTATTCATCAGGCATGTGAGCAATTTCGCCAGCAATACGATCTCTTCACTTTTTCCGTGGGGCAGGGGCCATTCCGCCGCACTGTTGTCTGTTTTCGGAATCAATTATTGGATCCGAATAAATTTACAGAGTCGACGGCAGCAGCAAATTTTGAGTCGTAAGTATGTGCTTCACACTCTACTTCATATGTACATATATATGTATATGTACATGTTTGTTAATAACAGAATAATGTTGATTCGTAAAAACTCTTGATCATACATTTTTTAAATTTGTTTTTCTTTTTTGCTCAGGCGAAAAAAGTCACCAGTGAAAAATTGGCGCAGTGAGCGAAAAACTGCACAAAACACGCTTGGTAAGATGGGTGTGGAGAAAAGTGGAAGTGAAACCCGCTGTAAGTTAAATATGCATTTATTTATATTATATATATACAATACATATATATTTATAGAATTAGGGTGATTATAGGTTCGTATGGCGTATTGTAATTGACTTATTGATAAAGAAATAAATTCTAATGCCTATAAACGTATAAAAGTACTTGGTCACTCCATGCATTGCATGCCTAATACATCATATTTATTCATATGTCTCTGAGGACTCTGAAATAATTGTAATATATTTAATTGCAGCATCTTTTTTATTTGTTTTTATCTTTCCGGTTTTCTAATTTTTATAAGTTATTGCGTGAAATTTGTTAATATATTCTCTAGAATATATATGTACGTTCATTTAGAATATTCTCTCCCAAATATCTACACAAACCATAATTAATTTCACACTTAAATTCCTATATAAGTAGAAATGAAGAATATTTTATTCGCCAAGTCATTACTCACATTTACATATGTATGTACATATATTGTTTATTTATTGCTTACACGCATATAAGCGTATATACAGGCAATACGCAAATTGGACATAGCGCTTTGCGGCAACCTATGATGAACTCCAATGCTGAGGCATTTTTTAAGTGTTTGCGCTACATAGTCAAATTCAAGGTCGCTATTCATATTTATTTTTCGTCTTTTTGTTCATTTTCTTTTGTACCTTCACTTCTACTTAAGTTGTTTCACTCCCTTTTTACGCTCATGCTCACTGCGTATCGGCCAAAATTTTGTACGTGATGTCGCATTTGCGTCTCAGGGTCGAGTAACCAGTTGGCCAAGTCAAATGCCGCTCCCCTTCCATTGAACGCTCAACAGAGTTATCGTATTTAACTTTAAGTTTCTTTATTTTCGATACTTTATCATTTTTGTTCGGTAATTCTTTTATTTACATTTATATTAAGTAACAGTAAATAGTAAATTAATTGAATGGATGAATAAAAAAAAAATGAAATAAAAATGTATTATTTTAATTTTATTATTACTAAATAATAGCAACAATTTTAAATTGTGCTAACTTCAAGGCCACTCTAGGAGAGCGAGCTCACTCTCTCTAGGTGTACAAATTAAAAGATAAAAACAAAATAAAAAGAAGCAGCAAAACTTTTAAATTTGGGTCAACATTGAATTTGTATTCAACAAGTATTTCCACGTTAATAAATTGAATGCATGCACACAAGCAAATACATAAATACATATTTGCACATAATACCAATTATTTAATTTTGCGTTATTTATATTTATGTTGTGTTAATTCATCAATGTATAAAATATGTTTTTAATAATTACTACTTTAACCGTTCCATTTTTGCGTGGAAATAAATTTAATTAAAACAAGTAAGGAAGGGCTATGTAACCGAACATTTTATATTCTTGCAAAGTCAAATGGTATACTCGTTTGAGATTTCTTTGTGGATTGACTGATATTTTCGGTAGAAGGGGCTTGACATTATTGGTTCGATTTAGACAATTTTTGGTCACAAGGTGGCATACATTAAACGTATTATTCACGAAAACTTTTACCCCGATATAATCATTGTTTGCTTGATATGCATAGTGGAAAGTGAAAGAATCAGATGAAATTGAAAATGTGTTATATGAGAAATAGGCGTGGTTGTAGTCCCATTTTCGCACTATAACATAGAAATATGAAAAGAACGTGATTCACCGAATTTGGTTGAAATCGGTTAAGCAGATCCCAAGATATGGGTTTTAACCTAAAAGTGGGCGGTGCCACGCCCACTAACTAATTTTGAATGCGGTTCCTATAAAGTCATCTCCTACCATCCCAGAGATAAAATTTAATGTCTCTGGCGTGTTTAGTGCTTGATTTATCGCGCTTTTAGTAGTTTTTAACAGTACCGTTATATGGGGAGTGGGCGGAGTTGCCACCCGATTTCAACTATTTTCACACTGAAGGTAGAGGTTCTAAAAAGATTTGTCCAGAGTGAATTTTGTTATTATAGCATTAGCGGCTTAGGAGATATGCACATTAAACCTATTAGGGGTGGGGCCATGCCCCCTTAAAAAATAAAATTTTAACTGCAGATGCCCCTCCTTAATGTGATCGTGTGTACCAAATAACAGTCTTGCTTAACTAAGCTCCACAAGTTATGGCAATTTATTTGTTTTTGATTAATGGCGTTTTGTGGGCGTGGCAGTGGTCTGATTACGCCCATCTGCAATACCAACCGTCTCACGGTACCAAGAAACATGTCCACCAAGTTTCATAAAGATATCTCAATTTTTACTCAAGTTAGAGCTTGCACGGACGGACGGACGGACAGACAGTCACCCGGATTTCAACACGCCTCTTCATCCTGATCATTTATATATATATAACCCTAAATATAACTCGATTAGCTTTAGGTGATACAAACAACCGTTAGGTGAACAAAACTATTATACTCTGTAGCAACAGGTTGCGAGACTATAATAAACCATTGAAAATTTGAATCGGATTATTAAAAAAAATAACAAAACTAAAGTTCGGAGTATGGGCAAGAGGTCAAAATTTCTTATTTCATAAGCTACTCGCCCGATTATAACCAAGTAGTTTGTGACATTCTCATTATATCATCTTGGCGCAGTATAAATTTTTGAAATTTATAATATACCATATATCGAAAAATCCTAGCTGGTTTGACATAACATAATGTGAAGTCGGCTGCGCTTTCTCTTAGTTACTATAACTAAATTCGAAAAAGATCGAAAAATTATTTTTTGAATATGGCATTTTTCTCTCTTACAGTATTTAAAACGAACTCATTAGATCTCTATCGACCTCCTGCCTTAAGAAATTATAATCAGAGTGGCGCTTCGGCTGATGGTGTAGCTGCCACTTATACACTCAGTCCAGCGGTGGCAGAACGTTCGTTTACAACAACTGCGGCTGACAAAACCACACTGTTATCTACCTCAATATCATGCAATAATTCTCCGACACATGCAAATGAGAACAACAGTTTTGATAATAATGCAATGACCTCAAGGTGCGTAAACGAGGACCGTGGCACAACAAAGACAACGACAACAAGTATATCGGTAATTAAATCAGAGGTAACAACAAGTGGCGGGGATATGCCAACAGCGCCAACGACAAGCACAGCAGTCAGTAGCAAATCTGCCCAGCAAAGGTAAATGAACGAAGTAACAGACATACAAAATATACTCGCGAAACTCACACACACACACGCGTAACAGTATTGCTGAAATTCCTCAACGAGTTTATGTGTAATATATGCAAATTAATATATGTACAAAGAGTTTCGTCAAAGACAGGGAAGAGAGAAGGCTCAATTATTTCGGCATATGTATATATCTCGTTTGCTCATGATTATTATAAACAATATTTGTATATGCACATTTATACTCGTATATAGGGCGAAAGCATTAAATTTATGTTTTATAATTTATACATTTGTGGGAACTCCTTCGTGATGCCTAGCTTTCGAGTACTATTGAGAAAATTTGGAAATTTTTAAAATAGTTTCTGTATTATTTTTATGCCGATCTGGTTTTAAAAATAATAGTAATATTATTTTTAGAATTAGTATATTAAATTTTGGTATAATTTTGAATACATCTGTTTATCATTGTATGCCTAATATTTTCGTTAGGTGCCTGATTCGACTTTTACTCATTACCATAGTCCATTTAATTCAGATCTTAAATATAAATAAATAAAACTTGTCCAAAAGTAAAATTAAGACCCTTTCTGGTATATCTTAAAGGTTTTTCCATAATTATTTTATCTAGTGAATTTTTATAAATTCCCTGAAATCTCTTTCAGTGGGAAATTTGAAAAAATTAATATTATGTTTTCCACCAAATTAAAGTCTTTAATAATGGCCATATTATTGTAAATATCTCAATTTTAAGTTTCCTGTATATTTTCTAGCGATATTTTTTCTACAATGCAATAATTCAAAATTGATGATTGTGTTATAACTAAAATCCAAAGCGTATGAAAACTACGTTCCAGTACAGGCCTAACCGCTAGCTGCGCTATGAGTAGCAAGAAGTTACCTCATCGCAATCCGACGTGTTTAACTAGTTTTGTTGCATTTTACGGAGTTCTTTTGTGACTTATATGCCATTTTGTTTTGCTCCTCTCTTTCTTAGTTTCGTATGTGTAGGTTGCTGCATTTATGTTTATGTGATTCGTTCACCTGTCTACCGCACATTCATTCACCTACTTACCCCGAAACACGCAAACGTGCTTACACATATATGTACATACATATAATTGTTGGTGTAGTATACATAAGTATGTATAAACATCCAAATACAGATATATTTTATGTGTACATATGTATGAATGTAGTGTATATAATGTGTTTGCTCATTGCGTTTTGGGTTTTTGCTGTTTTACTACAACCATTTTTGTATGTATTTTATTTACTTACATATACATATATGTTTCGTAGGCAATCGTCAGCTGTAAGACGTGAACGTCGACCAGATAGAGCGGTGTATATTCCAAGGGCACGGCGCAGTCAAACTACCCCGCCAACGACGCCAGCAGCTACACCTATGGAAGTAACAGGGTTACAACAACAACATAGCAAAACAAATGATATCGCACCATCGACTGCTTCGTTAGCTCCGATGCCATCAACGACTGCTTGTAATAATAACAACAATAATAGCTGCGGCGGCAGTAATCAGCAGCGTTTGGCAATTACTTCGGAGACAAGAGCGTCAGTACACACTACAGCGTCGACCAAGTTAGACGATATATCTGGAAACAAAAGTGCAGGTATTGCAGCTGTTTGCGCCGGAAAGAAGACGAAATCATCTACAGTAAACAATCGCGAACGCAGAGAACGTTCTAAAAAATCGACTCTTATCGTTGAGGCTCAAGACGCGAAAATATCTAAATTATCATCGGAGCGGACCGAAACGAAAACAATACGGAACGGGCATGATTCAATATCACTTACCGATTCGCGTGATACTACAGCTGCTTTCATAAGTCAACAAAAACAACTGCATTTGAATACTGATAATATACAAAATCTACTGTTATTCGAACAACAATCAACCGAAGAACAAAAAATACCACCAGAAACCATTGTTAACAACGAAATGAATACTAATTCGAGCAGACGAAGTAAAATGAAGCAAAGTAATACTGAAAACGCAAGCAAAGTACAGAATTTACGAATAGAAGATGTTGCATCAACAGAAAATGGTACAAGGAGTACAACTAAATGTGATGTAGAAGCACAAGAATTCCAGCGAGCATCAAAGGTAAATTAAAATTGCCAAAGAGTAAATGAATTGCGAGGTTTCATGGGACTATCGTTAACTAACACACGCAATCAATTATATTTGTTTGAATGTATATGTACATATTTTTATATAAGTACTGTGATTAGCAATTTAGTTAACTGAATAATTTGTTTAATAAGCGGTTCATTTCGCAAAAGAATTCAAAGTTGACTTCAATCAATACTGTCATTTGTGTTATGTATAACGATTTATCTCACTATAAGTATATTGAAAATGTTTTAGATTGCTTTGTTTTATGTTATTTTCCTTTTTTAACACTAATTCCGCCAAACTTAACCCAAACTTAGTTCAGAAAATAGTTTTTCTACCATTTTTAGCGTTTTTATGGAATAAATTCTATTATATAATATTCGCAGGAAATAAACCGTAGTAATCGTCGGATTATTAAGCAAACATTCGTCTCAGATGTACTTGAAATTCCCGAGAAAATCGAAAATGGCTTAGAATATGACAAGGGATCCAATCGAAGAAGTTCAAAAAATATTCCCGTTTCGACACCACATCGCTCTGCCGTAGATAGTACCACAGAAGAAGAGGAAGAAGACGACTGGGAAACTTTGTACGACGATAGTGGAGAGTGTTTAGATCCGAAAATCATGCAAGAACTCACAGCTTCGGTGGGAAAAGTGAAAATCGAATTGCCAAAAATGGATTATAGTGTAGATATTTGTCTGGAGTATATATTTAATTAATAACTAAATTTTATTTTGACATATAGGCATATCTTACAAAGCAGTCTATACTCAACGATGAGGAATTCCCACACGTACTTGAAGTATCCAATTTCCCTGTCGAATTTAAGAATCATGACCTTCTTATGGTTTTTTCCCAATACAAGGAATCTGGTTTTGATATTAAATGGGTGGATGATACCCATGCCTTGGCTGTGTTCAGCAGTTCCCGAATTGGTGAGTTTGTTAGGTCAATCCAGGAAAGCATAAAACGTTGTAAATATTTATGAATATCTTTGTTTTAAATAGCTGCTGAAGTTTTAACCATGGGCCATCCATTCGTAGTACTTAAGCCATTAGCGGAAGCTACAATAGAATCTCGCTTAAAGGCTAAGAAATGTGCTGCATCCCTGCAACCATATCGTCAAAGGCCCGAGACGTGTGCAGCACTCGCACGTCGCCTTGTTACCGGAGCTTTAGGTGTGCGCCTGAAAACAGCTGCCGCAGAAAGAGAGAATGAGAAACGCGTACTACGCGAGGCCAAAGGTAAACTTTGTATTTTAATTCGAATTGAAATCTACAATGTTGTTTCTCTAAAATAATATAGAACGTAAGATGTTAGCAGCTAAACAGCGAGATGAGATATGGGAAAGCTAGATATCAATGTCTGCAATATATTTGTGGTTCTATTTCCTGCCTGCATTCTAAATAATAACGGACTATAAATAAACAATGAAAATCGTTTGAAATGCGATAAATTGTACTTGATATATCTTTTTAAAGATATCCCAATAAAATAGTTAGTCATAAGAAAGTAGTAGAGAACTTGTAATATATATATCAAAAAGATTCACAAGAAAGGGTAATAAATTTGCTCAAAGAACTATTTTGTAAATTATTTAAATTTGAGCAGTTTATTTACATTTATTTGTGAGTACATAAGTTAAAATTTATATAAGATGCCAATGTACTGAGAACTGCAATATTGAAAACAATATATGTATGTATATTTTTGCAATATTTTAGTGGGTAAATTACGAGTAATGGGAAGAGATCTATACAAAATACATGCAATTTATGGATGTAAGAGATTTTATTGTATGTATTGTACATTTGTGAAGTTGTTTCTTTATAAGATAATATTTTGAAAATAAATCGTGATAAAGCCGAACTTAGTTATGTATGAATTTTCTCAAAGATTCTAGGTAGAACACAGTTCTTCAAAGACTTAATTAATGGGAATTGATTTTTAAGATAATCTGAGATGTGTGTAAGTCGAAAAACCCTAAATATTTATTGTTTCGATTATGTTATGCATTTTTGCATATGTCGTGCCATCGAACACAGTTGTTGAATCTAAAGTAGATGGTGCTTATAATATTTCTTATCGTCGCAAACTTTTTACAGTACTTGTTTTTTTGTTTTGATAAAGATGTAGCAGAGAACGTATATCGGTTGGCAACTAAGTAATTGCGGATTTAAAAAAAAAAATCAGACAATTTTTTCATGGAACTAAATAACTTTATTCTGTAATGTATTGCCCATTTTGATCAATGACCTCTTGCCATTTTTCAGGAAACGTCATAATCCCACGTTCATAAAACTTCTGGTTTTTATTAGCAAATAACTGAATCAGGTACGATTTGACATCATCATCATTATTGAAATGTTTACTATTCAAGGAGTTTTGTAAAGATCGAAACAAAAAGTAATCCGATGGTGCAAGGTCAGGACTATATGGTGGATGTGGCAAAACATCCCAACCAAGCTCCAATAATTTTTGGCGAGTGACCAAAGATGTGTGTGGCATTGCATTGTCATGATGGAATACAACGCTTTTTCGATTTATCAATTCGGGCCGCTTTTCTTCAACTGCATTGTTTAATTTCGTTAGTTGTTCAATGCAGACAACAGAATTGATTGTTCGGTTGGGTGGTAAGAGTTCAAAGTAGACAATTCCTTTATAATCCCACCAAACTGATAACAAAACCTTCTTTTGATGAATACCAGCTTTTGATGCTGCTTGAGCTTGTTCACCTGGCCTGCTCCACGATCTTTTCCGCTCGATATGGTTGTAAACAACCCATTTTACATCGCCAGTTATCATTCGTTTTAAAAATGGATAATTTTCATTACGTTTCTTTAGCAAATCGCAGCTGTTAATGCGTTGCGTTAAATGCATTTCTTTCAGTTCGTGAGGAACCCATGTATCGAGTTCTTGAACATAGCCAAGTTGTTTTAAGTGACTTACAATGCATGTATGTGATACCTGAAGCTTCTCTGCAATCTCACGTGAATTACCAACTATCAAATAACAAAATGTGTTTTACATCAGAGAACGTATAAAAATAATAATAATAATAATAATAAATAATTCATTTACGTTCTCTGATTATATACATACAGAATAATCTACATTCTCTGCTACGCCAGCAAATCTAAAAATTCAACTGAAGCCATCTATGAGTGAAATCCGCAATTACTTAGTTGCCAACCCAATACATTCTCTGGAAGAATTGTAAATTTTCTGCCATATGTGGTTTTGATTATGCTAACTTAATTTATTTTAGATCACATTGGTATCATTAATAAACTCTTGCACCTTGCCAATAGATGTCGCTCTTTAACCATAATCATATGTTGCGTTTACCAACAGCTGTTTTCCGTAAAGCAGAATAACACGGCACATTACAGAATTAAATTTACTAAACATGATAAAATCTTGCATATTTCGGGAGATTCGATTTAATCGATTAAATATTCCATTGTTGCGCACGTTCAGTCATGTATTTACGAATACAGAACCACAGAAAGATAAAGGTTGTGGCAGTGAAAAAGAAAAGGTCGGTTCCCCCACTGACACCAATTCTGCGCCAATGGTAATGATTGCGATGATAAATGCTTTTCAGTATATTCAGTTTATCAATTATAAATTCAGATTAAGCAAACAGTAGCAGGTACTGTCAGCCACAAATATCAAATATTCCAAGATAGAGATGCTAATGAGATTTTTGACGTCGAAGAAGAACGCTATCGGTATCAAAAGGAGCAGGAGCCAAAAATTACCGAACACGATGAATATTTAGGACTGAACTTAAATCGTAATTGTACTATCTGATATAAATTATTTCGTAATATTACATAAATTATTTATAGATGGTAAACATGGTGTGTACGATGTGGAAGATCTGGTTGATGTACTACGAAAGGAAAAAGCAGAAGATGTGTTTGTTTGTTCTGTCCCTAAAGATTTAAAGTATGTAGATTATATGGTGGTATGTAGTGGTCGCAGTTATAGACACATGTTGGCAATTGCGGAATTTGTGCGGCATATTTATAAAGTAAAGCGAACGAAAGGAGAAATTTTACCAAAGATCGAAGGTGAAAACAGTCGGCAATGGATGGCATTGGATCTGGGTAGATACACATATATATTTTCAATGAAATACTTGATCTAAGGATATAAAATTGTTGCTTTAATTATTTAAGGTAACATTGCTCTGCATGTGTTTTCTCCTGAGTTACGCGAACAATACGATTTGGAATCGTTATGGGCGATAGGAATTGAGTATGACAAAGAAACACATAAATCGCAGGATCCATTTGTCGAACTTTTTGAAAAACATTCTATACCGCTGGGTGGCACACATCCTAAGAGAACAATTACCGGTACCTAATAACCCCAAAATATTTATGAGTTCATACATTTGTTTTAAGTGTTAATTTATTAAATTAACAAATCAGTCACCAATTTATAAAATTATTTGAAAACTTCTTATGAAAATCGTATAAACTTTGGAAAACAAATTGATCCTCGATTTTATTGCCATAGTTTTTAATAAGGTAGTTAATACTTTTCTCATGAATAAGCGCAGAATTCCAACCAACATTTTTGGCGGCTAAGTAATCTGTAGTAGGTCCGTCTCCAATATGTAAGCATTCTTCGGGTTTTAGGTTCTCCAAATCAGATAACTTTCTGGCTAAATTGAATATTTCAGGACTTGGTTTCTCAACGTTGCTATCGTAAGAATTAATTGTAAAATCAAAATAATGTTTAATTTTCATATTACGCAAGAGTGTGTCTAAGCGAGGATCAAAGTTTGATATTACGCCTAAAGCTATTTGTGACTTGTGACTGCAGTGGTTATCATCAACGTCGTTATCATTGTGGTTTGTAGCGAGTTGTTGTTGTAAACGTAAATAATTAAGTAAATCCACACTTCCATTGCAATGCTGCCAACAAACGCTTGTTTTGTGAAGTTCAAGTAGATGATTTACCAAGCTAGCTAATTTCTCTCCGGGTATCAATGAGCCGCTGTCAGAAAACGTATCTGGATAAGAATAGATTATTTGAATAAAATTATACTCATCCACAATTATTTCTTAAACATACTGCCAATAAGCTGATACCACCATTGCTGCCAGGTAATGCGAGAATTACGTCCGAAATTCGGATATTTTCTATTCATTATATACCTACACAAAAAAAATAAATGTTTTAAGATGATCGAACAATTTGCCTTAGTCTACCAATTAGCCTTAAAATTTTTTGCGAGATCAGCATTGTCACAGAGTACACCGAAAAGTGCACCAATCTCTCCATATTGTTTCCCAGGACTGCCACGAAACTGCAGTAACGTATTGGTGACGTCGAAGGTTATTAGACGTATACGACCTAAAGCACTTGACATGGTTATCATATGAAGGCAGTCTCCAGAAGCACTTGTATATAATCAAATTTTTTATGTCTATTATTATTATCAACTAAGCCGGCAATACTTGTTATATGTATACTTATATTTGAATACGATGCTATTCGATCAATACTCTCCCTCCAACTGTTTAAGCGTCCGGTGTGCTCTGTACCAAATCACGTCGACGTTTCGCTATTGCTATGTATTTGGATGATTTATCAATAAAAACAAATGTTGATTAGCTCTTCTTACTATTAGCTCGTGGATGATTGGTTATCTATATGCATACAAACTTACATATTTATGTATGTACACGATGAGTTATCAAGTGCTAATAGGTTTAGAAAAATGATGACATGATTTGTATACGTACATATGCATCTTATTACACGATCCGTCCGCTATATCTGGAACACGTATCATTTCTACCCTAAGTATTTTATTATTGTAGTTTGATTTCGATATCATCAGAAATCAATATATAGTTATTTTTTGTATAAATTGTTCTTTACAAAATTTTATAATTAGTTTAAAAATTCTCAAGCTCTAAAATCCTTAAAATAGATAACCTTAAGCAGTAAATGTTAATGAATAGACACTATCGTTAACATTCTCCGATATTACAACGACAACAAATTCATTCATAAGGAATGTGCGTCTGCTACAAAGCAAAGGGCGTTCGTTCATAACTCTGCGTTGCGCTCTGTTTTCTGTGCGCCTGGTCAACCACAATTAATTTTTGTATGAGAGAAATTCGAGGAAGACTGACAAAAAAATGATTTCATTAAGTTGTACAAAACAGCCTCAATCGGTAATCGCATATCCTCAAAAGAGCATAAGTAAATTTTAAATAGCACAGCACAGCAAGAAGGACCAACGTGACAACATAGCCGACCAACATTGTCCCAAATTGTCGATTCAAACTAATTTTGTCAACTCCGCAGCGATGCGCACAATTCGGCGTCAGAACTCAATTTTTTGTACCGCCTCGTCTCCGCGCGAACTCGTCGTTACTACCAAAGCATGCCACCAGAGAGGCGTTTCAACGTTATTATATTGCTTAATTGGTATTGAGAAATACTAATACCTTAGGGCTGCTTTACTTAATAATATAATATTAGCGTAAATAACAATATATGTATAAATTTAAACTTATTTAAATGTTTTTAAAATAAAATCGTTTAATAAAAATATATCTGAAATAATTATGTGGCAGTGCACCTTCTGACCCTTCCTTGCCGGCGATCGTTCAACTTGCTTCGTTCTAGCTGTTCGCGCAAAAAGCAAAAAGTGTTAACAAAAGTCATTGTTTGTGCGGGGCAAGGAGAAGCAAGCATCAGCGTACGTGTATTTATAAATGGATGTTTGTTTGTGATATATGTCATATTTGTGCAAATACGAATAAATAAGGGAACATTTAATAAATATATGCGCATATTTTTCTGAAATATCTTACTTATCTCAGTAAGTAAAATATTTTTTTAAAGTAACTGAAATAAGATGTGCTAAGATTTTAATTAATAAAATATAAATAAAAAAACATTTTAAGTTCCATTAGCTCCAGGAATTGAACGTATGTACTCGTATTCGCATTGAGCTTATCTCCTTCACGCTTACTACCTAAGCCATCTCAGAAGTGGGAACGCGGGCACAGTTAACCACAGTTTTATTATTAACCTTTGCTTAATAAGCTATTGCTCACGTAACGCACATACCTGAGTTGAAAAAATTCTTTATTAACTGTTTATTTTATTACAAACTCTGGGGGTTTTAATAATTATAAATTTGGTCATATCATAGAAATTGAAAACAAAAATCTAACAAGGTATGCGCATCGATAATTCATTTAAGAACATTCGCACATTGCGTGGTGTACTTTTCTTTTTGAAGTTATATTATTCGATGTTCCCGTATGTGAAAACTACCACTACTAGTACTAAAAAAAATTTGATTTAACATTTGTGTCTTTTGTATTAATTAACTGGTTCATAAACACGAAGTAATTTATGTGAATGTGATCTTAAGCTCTTATGTTCGATCCCTAAAATTCTTGAAACCTAAAATTAATTTTTTGTTTTATTTTATTATATTTTAATTATTATATGTGTATTAATTCAGCTAAAAGTACATTCAATAACATAAATATGATAAACTCACAATTTCATAAATACACGTAAACTATTGCTTACTACTCCTTGTATCGCACAAATAATGTATCCAGTTCTCACTTTTGCTTTTATGCGAGAACAGTTAGAAAGAAGCAAGAAAAAGCGGCCAGGTGGCACAGTTCCACCTAATTTTTTTTTTTATTAACGGATTATGTTTTTTTTTAAATGTGTATGAATTTTTGTGTATTTACATATGTAAATTTATTATTATGTAAAAATTCTTATATTATGTAAGTAAATCCTTCAAGTATTAGTATTTTTCTTGAGGGGAAGAAGACCTGCAGGATGTCCGACCATATACACCATATATATACATATGTACATTACAAGTAGTATGTAACTGCTCAACTACTGAAAAAGTACAACAGCTGAAATTTAAAATTGTGTTAAAAAACAGCGTTCTTTTTGTTGTTAAGCTAAAAGTTAAATCTGACTAAATAAATTTGCTTGTAAATAAAAATAGTTTTACATAATTTTAAAAGTATTGGTGTAAATTTATAAATGACCTGAGGACATTATTATTTACGGCAAGCAAGAAGAGCGAACAATAGATTGATTCACTTAGAAGTTTTACTGAAAAAGTTTATCTACAACGGTTGAAAGTGTGGACTGTATAGTTTTAAATTACTAGTACTATGTATACCGAGAAAGGTGTGTACATACGAGTCCCTTTGGAACTAAGTGAAATTATACTCGTTCATTTGATGTATTATTTAATATAATTTATACTGATAGGCAAACCAATATTTATCGGGAATTATCGGAAAATTTGACTTAAAACATTGAGCATAACAGATTTGTATAGTTTAGCGGACAAATTACGGTGAACTTACAATATTTAGTATATTTATAGTTTTGCAACGTTGTCCGAGTACAAAGGCTCTATGTAGAATATTTATCTACACGAAAATTGTCTACGACTTGGAAAGTTATTTCCAAAGCACAGTTATAGGATCGCACCGAATGGCAGGGAACTTTGAAACATTGTAAACATTAATCAAGTTGGCGCTGAACTGATTTGGTCATACAGAATTTCCCTTATGCTGTCCGAATACATACTGTTGGAACCATCACGATATAGTTAAATTTGGGTTAATTTGGTAGATTTAATGAAAGTAAGGACCCATTACTATATTTGACATCAGCGAGTGCGTAACAATTATCAATCCATTAGAAGATCTGCTCGCAGTATTCGAAATTACAGTGTATTTTAAAATTTTAGTCTTTCTTTAATTCGTATGCTTTAACTCATAACTTATATTTATATGTACATACTTGTATGGATATGCATATGTATATGTATGTATATAGTAAAACATATACATATGAATGTGCGTATGTACATATGTGCAGGTATGCAACTAAAAATCACATATTTTGGCATTTCTTATGGCTCAATCCACATATGAATACGTGTCAGTTTTATTAATGATCGTGGGAAGGGAATGTGCGAAGACTACTCGCATCTCTTTATGCAGCCTGCTATGCACGTAATGCATACATATACATTAATCCCACTGTTAAGGTCGTTCTAATAATTTTTTTTTAAATATCTACTTCGAGAAAGTGGCACCTTTTACCACTGTCGATTTGACCGATTCATTATAATTGATAGAAAAACTTTATTTAAAATAAATAACTATCAAAAACGAAAAATATACATCGCCTGTGCAACTCCCACACTTGAGGTGTAAAATGTTGCACTTTTTTCTGGTTAGAAGGCAACATTTAGAGAAAGGAACATGCAACTTTGGCCTCTCGGGCTTAGGGCTTAGGTAATATCGCAGTCAGTGCAAAAAATCATTAGTCAAGAGAAAGAATTGTGAATTCGCGACTGCTTAAGTATTGAAAACAACATATTCGAATTGTAGAACTGGGGAGGTCCTTTGCTTCCAGCTGATGGTCTGATGGTACCAACCATAAACTTTTTGGACTGTAGTATTTGATCCTATACGCACTATGTGCTCCTGACAGCAGTGCTTTAACGAAAACTTATAAAAGTTGGATGACATAGAGTGAACTTGTCTAAAATACTTTTATGAATAAACTAGGTCAAAAATGATATTCGAATGGCAACAATTTTTTCCCCTAACCTCCACTGTGACATCAAGAATAGAAACATTTACAAATTGCTAACAGAGAAAATAACAATTTGAAAATAGTTGTTCATAAAAATTTGAACCAACCTAATGCGCCTTTCCAGGAATATCTGTTCGAAGTTATAAACGCACGCCATTGACAATATGGTAGCGCGCACCTCGACACGTAACGCGTAACGAACGCGGCGACAGTAACATTGATATGCCGAAAAGTTTCTCGATTATGCGAAAATGCTTTCTGAAAACCTCAACACAAAGCCAAGTGCATTCCTCATACACACAAAAATATCGGTTATTATGAAATCAAGTTATTTTGTCTATAAGTATGTTCACGAACATTCCTGCGTTGCCGAACGCTATGAAAACGCAACTGAACAAACACACAAGTCAAACTGCATGAACCGTAAAAACATGTGGCAGGGCAGTGAGCCCTGGTGGGTGTTTATTAAGTGGACAGTTTTGGCACAAGAAAATTTCTAAACCAAATTTTGCTTCGTTAACGATATGAAATTCTATGAAGTCTATTAACAGCTGTAATTCCGTTTGAATATAAAATAGTTGGCGCTTACTGTATTAGATGTGTCGCCTATCTTCTCCTCATAAGCCGAAGCGGTGGGGTCTAACTGATTCTTACCTAGAGATGCCGTCAATTCTGTCCCGTTACTTTATATGAAGATATTGACAGAAAAATACAGTAGTTCGTGATGTCATGAACGAAAGCAGCGGACAGTTTGTTTATAATTACTATGAAAGTGATAAGAAAATGAAAAATTTTACGCTAGTCATTTCTCTAATCGCTAAAGCTTGTGTGGAACGGTTTGGATTATCTATTTGATCCAGCGACTATAATCGTCATGATTATAATTTTTATAGTTGTCGAATCGCAGCCTTGACCAGTGACATTTACTGTTGAAAGCAAGACTCAACCACCGCCTCGTGTAAGACTTAAGTTTGTAAGTAGATAAGTATTTTATGTACATATGTATATAATGGAATATATATTATATAATTGACAAAAAAAACGGCTTAGGGTCAAACTTACTTTCATGTAAAAAATTGGTTTTTCTAACAGCATTCTCTCCCCGACTGACAGGTCTAAATTGTAATTTGTGTATTTCTGACAGAAAAAATATCCCCTGCATATGGTGTAAATATAAGGAAATATATAAGTTTAAGCCACCAATTTTACATAGAATATATAAAACTGGTGAATCAATTTCGTGGTCGGTATTCACTTCACTTCATCTAAAAAACTGGAGCTATTCGAACGATTATTGGACGTATCCAGCTCTAAGATCCCTTATTTATTGCGTTCGCTACATTTTAGATTTTAGATTTCCCACTTTTCATTCTGATGTATCCCGACTCTAGATTTGATGTTATAGGAGTTGCTTATATTACGAGTGTTCGCCTGTTGCAGCGGTGCTTCCCATACTCGTTCGCTTCGTACAAGTGTGAGTATTTGCATTGCTGTCTGTCCTTTTGTTTCGAGGTTCGTCTGCCATTGTTACATAGATGTTGGTGTTGTTGGGTCTGTTTGCTGCTATCGCTGCATATCCACATTGGAATGCTAAAGTAAATATAAAACTCGAACCGAAAAATGAAATCGCTGAATAAGGCAGAATGTAATTCCAAAGAAAAACATAAAAATAACAGAAACATAAATTCATTCATCCGAGGGGGTCTCCGTCTATGCACCTCTGCTGTCGCTGTTATTGTTGTCGTTGCAGCCGCGTTCTCGCTGTGGAGTAACTCTGTTGATTTGACGTGTGCGCCTCTGCCTCTGCCTCTGCTTCAGCTTCTACCCTGCTGTGTTTGTATGTATGTGGGATGTGCATGAAACATGATCAGTTCGCGGGAATGGTGCCTTATGCA